ATAACCTATAAATTATGTGAGAAATCTTTAAAAAATTCTGATAAAGAAAGAGATCTAGGGGGGGTTCTAGATTGAAAACCATCACCTAAGGACCACATGAAGAATATCATGCAAGAAGCCTATGCTACACTAACTTCAGAATTGCTTTTAAATACATGGATGGCAAAATACTAAAGAAATTGTTCATGACTTTTGTTAGGCCAAAGCTGGAATATGCAGTGGTTGTATGGTGCCGATATCTTAAGAAGCACATAAATAAACTGGAAAAGGTGCAAAGACATGCAACTAAATAGCTCCCAGAACTGAAGGACAAGAGCTACGAGGAGAGGTTAGAGGCATTAAATATGCCAAAACTAGAAGATTTAACTAGAAGATATGAGTGGTAGACGGTTAAAACAAGTGAGAAGGCGGTGGAGGCTAAAACCATCAGTAATTTCAAAGCATTATATGACAAAGATGGGACACCACAAGCGTAGCTCTCATCCTGTAACTACACTTAGGTAATTATTTGCTTAGCTAAACGAACTATGGGGTTCAGTTCCTGAACCGATTGTGTGCCTTTGTAACCCTTTCCACCACCACCGCCCATGGGATGGGTGTTACGGTATCAATGCTTTCTATGGAGTGAGGTGTGGTGATGTCGACGCCATCTTGGACCTGCACTACAACTCTAAGGTGAGTGAAGTAACGACATCAACACCATCTAGATTGTGCATTCAATTGCATTTCACAGTTCTCCGGTGAAAGGTTGGCATCCTATGTTCTTGTATACTTTCGATCTGGCTAATGACTTATGTACACAGAGGTGACGTGGAAAGTCTATTGCGCTGTGGAAAGCAGTTCACCTCGGGCAGTCCTAAACTCTTGACTCCTGAGTGGACAAGTGGTAGCTGTCGGTAGTAGACAGTGTGTTAGCTATTATACTTGTGCAGTGATTGTGTTGACCAGGGACGGTAGGGAGCCAGTCGGCCGAGCGGACAGCACGCTGGACTTGTGGTCCTGGGTTCGATCCCAGGTGCCGGCGAGAAACAATGGGCAGAGTTTCTTACACCCTATGCCCTGTTACCTAGCAGTAAAATAGGTACCTGGGTGTTAGTCAGCTGTCACAGGTTGCTTCCTGGGGGTGGAGGCCTGGTTCAGGACCGGGCTGCGGGGACACTAAAAAGCCCCAAAATCATCTCAAGGTAACCTCAAGATAACCAATGTACCCGGGATTTGGCCAAGGGGAGTTACAAAACAACAGTATTGGCCGTCTGCTGAGAAGTGCTGCTAGCGAGTAGACTTCTGCCAGGGTGTTAGTGGTAACCCCTGAACATATTATTTGTGACCCCTGTCAGCGTGTTGCTGAAGCCCTCTGCCATTGTTTTTCTGGAGAGCAGATGTTGGGTATATGGACATCGTGACGATACAGTGTGGGACTGGCCAATGTTGAATAAGGTGAACTCGCCAGTGATTACCATTGAACGTGAACGACATATACTGTACTTGAAGATACAGTAGTTGACTTACCAGGTTTTGAAGAACACTGTAGATATATTGAGTGTCCTGTGTGTGAAAGATATACTGTGTACATAAGTGTAGTTATACTTCTATAGATAATATATTGATGAAGTTGTAATTGCATCTTGTTTACCCCCCTCCCCCCCCCCTCTTTATTCCTTGCACAATTACTTGCTACCACCAATTCTTGAACTTATCACTGACTTGGGGTGGGATCATAGAAGAAGAGGCTCTAAGGCACATTACGCAGAAAGAACCCGGTTACTTGTTCAAGCAGGCCGTAACAATGGGTATAGGGGTGCATAATAAAGAAAGAAATATAATTTTTGAATTCATTCTATTTTCAATATTTTGCTTGACAATATATAGTTACATACTATATATATAGTATGTATATAGTTACATACTATAGTATATATATAGTTACATACTATATATATAGTTACTATATATATATATATAGTTACTCAATATATATATAACTCTCATTAAAACAATCAACACAATTTCCATTTTTTTCCATTCTTTCCACTCATGAAGGGTATTTAAACAAGGTACTCTTCATTTTGGTACCCTTAAGTTTTGGAAAGGAATTGCATCAATGTTTTGCACCACTGCATGATTTATTTTCAACATTTGTCATGTGGCAACATTTAATTTTTTGGGGAATGGAGAGGGGTGCGGAGAAGTTGTGGTTTAGTTCCTGGACTATGTCCGCAGACTCTCATAATCGTCCTTCAGCTACACGATCTTGAACATAGACTAGGCTCTCTAAACTGCCTTTCAACTCTGGGATCTCATCCATAGAATCTCAAGGTTGTTCTTCAGCTCACACGGTCCAACCAGTAAGCTCAATCCATTCATCATTCCATACAGAGGGATAAATTTACATAATGTTTTCTGTAAGAGTGCAAGAGTAGGATTTTTCTTACACCATCTCTCACACAAAGTGGCATTTCAACTACTGTATGCTAATTCAACAAGTTTTGAGGTTCGATATCTCAGTTAAGACTCTAGGTCTGCTGAAAGTCATCCTTAGATGATCTTGCTTTTAGTTTAATTCATTGGAAGTTGTGCTGTCTCATGAAGGGGGCACAAGTAGTGGGTAATGAGGGTCCTCTGTGTATTATCTGTACAGAGAAGTTGATTAATAAAAATCTACACTTCATATATGCATGGTAGTTAGCCATTATTTCAAGACACTTGTGCCAAGCATGATCCCAAGTCCTCATGTTCTGCTGTGGTGTGCGAAGACGGCAAGTAGTTAACGTTACTTATTGTATATGCTGCCACATTTATTTACTATATCTGCTTGATACCTGCTTGATGGGGTACTGGGAGTTCTTCTACTCCCAAAGCCCGGCCTGAGGCCAGGGTCGACTTGTGAGAGTTTGGTCCACCAGGCTGTTGCTTGGAGCGGCCCACAGGCCCACATACCCACCACAGCCCGGCTGATCTGGAACTTCTCTTAACAACAAACTTCTCTTAACTACTCTTAACAACAACAAATAACAACAAAACCTTTTGTTTTGATGTTTTACATGACACTAATCACTGCCTAAAACCACATTTGATCATATTTTCGTATACTCTATTTGCATTGGGATCTATTAACCAAAATCTACTATTGTACTACTTATTTGTCTCTACCAACTGGAGTAACAGCCAGAGAGACTATGCGGTAGTTCATCAAGGATACTATTTGGCAGCACTAGTAATGCCAAGGAGCATTCAGGAGTTTAATTTTGTTGGAATGAATCTTCTAAAGGTTATTTTGGGCTAGATTAATTTTCTCTAGTGTCTCTCTAGCACCAGTATGATCCAGCAGTGATGTCTGATAACATCCCTGCTATGCCAATGGGGGGGTGTCAATCTTCCTTGACTCTTCCTGATGATGGCTATGGAAATGGTAAGATTTTGCCACAAGATGAAACAGTGTGCTATGCTCAGAAAAGACCTTTACAACATTTTTAAAGCCTAATTTTTATGCAAGCAAATACAATATGTTTATGTCTTCAATCTAATGACATCAGACTAAAAATAAAAAAAGCCAGATCAAGTCATCAAATTGTATGGTCTCATCCATCCTTTTTCAGACACCAACAACATATAAATATAATTAAATCATAAAAAGAAGCAATACAATATACAGTGTAAAGATGTATAGTATCTGCATAAATTGGATCAAAATACTGTCCTGTATATTAAATCTTAGCTCAAAACAATAGTTCAGAGAAAAATGACAGACAAAGGTCAATACTCCATGTATTGTGCCATTAAGGGGTTTGGTGGTGCACCAGTCAACATGTGATGATGTTAGTACAGTACATCATAAGATTCAAATAGTTTTTTATGTATTTATATATAAAAGAGTTCTTACATTCTTGTAAAGCCACTAACATGCATAGCATTTCGGGCAGGTCTTCAATCCTAATTTTTACCCGGAATATGACCCGCCAAATCGTTTAACAACCAGGTACCCATTCACTGCTGGGTGATCAGAGGCTACAGTTAAGGATTGACACCCAGTCAATCTTCCCGGCCAGGATACGAACCCCAAGCAAAAGCACTCTCGAAGTGCCAGGCGAGTGCTTTACCACTGTGCCACAGGGACTGCAAAACTCGGGGACTACAAAACACAGGGACTCGAAACTCCCATTCATACAAGGGGGAGGCTCACATTTGCTTCCTCAGGCCTCCAGTAACCATCCCACCCACATTATGAGAACAAAATCCCAAGTCCCTCACTTTCCTTCTATGGCCTTAGTAATGTGGCCTACATTACTAAGGCCTACGTAACATTTTTAAGGTTTAGGAATGTGCAGGGCAGCCATACTATGACCCACTGAAATTTTAACAACAGCAAGTGAGTGATTACCATGGGAGTGCAAAAAAATATAAAATAAAGTGAGAAACACTGAAAATAATTCAACACAGTTATTCCAACAAGGAAACTCACCTCATTAAAAAAAAAATGGAACTTCTCCTGGCCACTACAGTTAAACTACAAGAGGTAAAGACTTTTTACTTGGATTTTTTTGGTTCCTGGGTGCTAATTAAAAATATATAATGAAAACATACTGTTTTTGGAACAATTTGTTTTCGGCACACCACAGGAATGTCTTCATAAAAGGTGCGCACTGCAGAGGTTAAATAAAATTTGAAAATGCAGCTTTTTGTTTTCACATGGAGGCACCATTCACAATTTTATTTAAAAATTTTAATTTGGAACAAATTGTGAATGAGAACTGAAGTGTAATCATAATACTGCTTTTCTAAACACTTGATTTTACAGAGGTAAGAATTAATTTTCTTTTCTTTCCATTGGCTAAAACATTACAGTACTGCACTCATAAAAAATAACGAGAAACTCTTCCATAAGAGGGATGTCATTAACAATTAAAATTCAAACAGGTGTTATCTTTTCAATACATTATTTCCCTTATATGTATACTGTATTTATATCAGTAATACTGTATTATACTTTAGTTTGTACTCACCATTGTACCTCTTGGAAGGCAGAAGTGTAGTGATCCTTGTGTCATAGATGTTGTCAACAGAGGTAGGGTATGCCTCTCGGTAGAACTCTACACATGCATCTTCCCAACCACCACGTTTGGTAGATTTCTGGCCACGGCCACCTGATCCTCTCCCACTTGAACTACGTCCCCCAGAGCCTCCCATGGCTGCAGAGGACCGACATCCCGAATTGCGGTCCCCCGACATGTCCTCCCTTGAGAAAAAAAATATATTGACAAATTGTGACTTAAACCTGTAACAATATTAATGGCAACAAAATTGTGGATTGCAATCCACATAAGAATAGAACAACCTACCATGAATACCCAAATCACAGTATATATACACACACAGTATATATACTGTATATATAGTGACAAAGGCTACATTAAACACACAAGCATAGAACATTATAGACCTGGCTAGGATTCAAACCCATACCACCCAGGATTACCCCCAAATGTACACGGTACTGTAACCATGATCAATGGTTACTGCACTGTACTGTACTGGTTACAGTACAGTAATCATGATCAGTCACTAAGATTATCAATGGTTACAGTACCGTGTATGTTTGGGGGTGATCCTGGGTGGCATGGATTCAAAACCTGGCCAGGTCAATAGAGTTCTTAGTGATATATTTTATATATTAGATACACTATTTATAGTGAAACAAAACACGCACACACACAAGCACACAAAACACACACACACCCACAAAATTGACACCTGTTAATTTACAGTGTCAGATTCCTACTTCTAACACAAACTACATTTGTTAAGAACTTAGTGAAGTACAGTAATTTGATTCCTGGTCCCTCCAAACCCACTTGACCCCACACTAAGATGGAAAAGAAATATAATGTCTACTGATGTGTTTAAAGAAAAAGGGAAAAACTAAAAAAATTGCAGGAAGGCACAAAACACAAGAATATATAGTGCGTATGTCCAATATACTGTTAAGAAGGCAATACACTCGAGGGGTTGGAATGTATCAATCACATTAATTAATGTCAGCCCATTCTCAATCAGCATACTGTATCTCCAAAGTTTGCCTGCACACTTTGAAATTTGGTATATATATACTTAAAAATTTAACTTCATATACAGTCAAATTCTGTGCAAATCACGGGCAGCCTGTACTATATATCATACATGTGCAATAACATCTCACTATATGTGGCATCAAGCTACATAACAAAAGTTCTTAAAATTATTAACATATACTGGGTACTGTATAAATATACAGTGCAACTCAAAAATCCACATCTTAATATAATGAAAGCATTAAAAACTAGGATAAAGATTGACTAGTGGAACAGTATCTAAATCTTTGGAACAGGGATCTGACTTTCAAGTCCAAGTGTGCAGAAAATCTTAATTGATCTTCAATGGTATGTGGGGTTTAGCATGTATAATCAAATAATCCACAGTTTTAATGCATTCTTAGTACTGAATTACCTAAGCATAGTTATAGGATGAGAGCTATGCTCATGGTCTTCCCAGCACTCTGTCAAATAATGATTTGAAACTACAGTACTGACGGATTTGGCCACCACCACCTTTTCACTTAACTTGTTCCAACTGTCTACCACTCTGTGAAAGTGAATTTTCTAATATTTTTGGCAATTTTGTTTAGCTAGCTTAAATCTATGACCTTGTTATTGAAGTCTCAAGAAATCTTTATCCATTTTGTCAATTCCCATTACTATTTTGTATGCTGTGATCATATAGCCTCTTTTTCTTCTGTCTTCTAGTTTTAGCATATTTAATGCCTCTAACCTCTCCTCGTTGCTCGTCTTTCAGTTCCAAGAACCATTCAAATGGATGTCTTTACACCTTTTCTAGGTTGCTGATGTGTTTCTTAAGATATGGGCACCATATAACCATTGCATATTCTAACTCTGGTCTCATAAAGGTCGTGAACAGTTTCTTTAATATTTCACCATCCATGTACAGTGGAACCTCGGGTTTCAAATTTTTTGGTTCTCGAGCTCAATTTCTTTGAAAAATTTGACTCGGTACACGATGTTTGCCTCTGTGCTCGAGTTTGTCGATACACGTATGGGCCGACCGAGCACTTGGCATGCTTCAAGTTTACCAGCTTCTCCCGCCTAGTGACGACCACGCTTGAATTCTTTGCTTGAATTTCATTGTTTTTGTGCTTTTATGGTTTTTGAACATAAGTTCTTATTATATATCACACCATGGGTTCTTATTATATATCACACCATGGGAAAGTCAGTGGTAAAGTTCAACCTAAGAAAATAGTGAGCATGATGATAGAGGAAAAACAAGAGATCATTCATATTGAGATCATGTGATGGCTAACTACAGACAAGTGTTAAAATGTAGGGAAAAATAAGTGTCTATAGACAGATTCTTAGTAAGACAAGCAAGCAATGAGCCACAACCAGGTCCTAGTGGTATGCCTGCAAAATGTAAGAGTACCCCAAAAATGTCATCACTGCTGTTAAAATGGAAGGAAACTCTCCTCCTCCTCCCCCCTTTCTCATTGTCTTCCATGCATCTACAAGAGTCCTCAATAAAGGTAAGATATACTTGTACATACTGAAGTACAAAATATAAGTACTGTAGTAGTATGAATAAAATGTATTTTTAAGTTAAAATTTTTGAAGGTGTGGAACGGATTAATTCAATTTACATTACGTATTTCTTATGGGAAAATTCATTTCGGTTTTTGAATTTTCGGTTTTCGAACCGTCTCTGGGAATGGATTAAATTAGAAAAAGGAGGTACCACTATATTTAAAAACAATTCTGAAATTGGAAACTGTAGCATAGGCTCCTCACACAATAGTCTTTATGTGGTCCTCAAATGACAGTTTTCTATCTAAAACCACCCATAGATCTCTATCAGAAATTTGAAAAACTTTTTTCACATAATTTGTAGTGAGAAGCCTAAGAGTTGGACTCCCATAGACACTACATTCCTTATAGATTATGAACTCTTTAGATTTTATGCATTCTGGACTTCTATTTTGTACCAAGGTACAAGGCATTGAGCATTAAACATTAAAGTTCAAAAAGGTATTTGATTGTTTTAAGTGGGGAAAAAGTAGACGTCTGAATGTCTCAGGAATTTAACCATATTTTCCCCATAAGCACATGTACTGTACATGTGCTGTTTAAGCTTGATTTACCTGAATTTACCCAAGGGCCACCATCTATTTAGAGGCTGCAAACAGAGATAGGAAGCCAGTAGCTTGTCAAAAGATGCCCCTTTTTCCAACTGGATTTTGAACTGTAGTAATGTCTTGGCATTTATAGTTTTGGTAGGTAAACAATTCCATGGGTTTATAACCCAATGGGCAAAAAAGCATCTTCTGTTCTCTGTCCTATGAAGTGGCTTGTTGAGCTTAAAGCTGTTGCTCCTTGTATGTGCTACATGTAACCTTTAAAGAAGTGGTCTGGATTAATATCCTCCATTTCATTTTGTTCAGTATTTTAAAAGTTCCTATGAGATCCACCCTCTCATGTCTGGTTTGTAGTGTTATTAGTCATGTGGCCCCTCAATATCGTTTCAACCTTACAATGGTGTCAAGCAGAACCACAAAAACTGAGGGCTGCCAGTAATCTTTTGCCTTTAATAGTAAATATTATTTGGAAAATACAAATTTTATCTAGAAACGTTTTACTATACTCATACTGCACATGGTAGAATATAAGGTACAATATAGTTAGCAAAGAGTGGATGAACTGTGGGTGGACCACCACTACCAATACTAAATGTATCTTTATAGAAATTTTCCATTGTGCCAGCTCGCTGTTACCTCTTGTAGTTCAAGGATTTTCATGAATTCCTATTTAAATATGTAATTAATGGCTCTGTTAGGATACCTTTTCTTCATCTTACCCAAGAAGAAAATATTAAATTGATGTTGAAAAGTGATGAAAACTAAAAGCGAGGAGGGTAGTTCCTCACACCTAGTAGTGAGACGGTCGAAAAAAGTGGCATTGGGGCACTATGCTTTAAGAAATAATAAAGCATAAAGTACATGTTTTAAGAGTTCATTACCAGGATAAAGTGCACTTCAGACAGAGTCTGAAATAAAAATCCTGTGGCTTAAATTTCAGTAAGCTATAACAGTTTAAGATTTTTTCTGGTCTATAAAAACGTTAAAATATATAGTACATAATTTTTTACTTAAGTTATTGCCACAGAAAAATCCTTGCATATTTAAATATTACTTGAGTGTTTAAATATGTGAAAAATATGTACTTTATAATTTTCATTAAGAATTTTGTATGAAAAAATACAAATAATACTGCATACACAGTATAAAAACAATACACATATACAGTGGAACCTCGGTTGACGGCTGCCCTAGAAGACGATTTTTTTGGAACACGTCAAATTCGACGTTCAATTTGAATTGGTGCACGACGGTTTACTTGGAAGACGTTGTCTGTTCATACACGTATAGGTCAAACGAGCACATGGTGCTGGAGGCACAGGGCAAAGCACTCTCAGTTTGTTTACAAGTCTATTCGCACGTAGTGACGACCTCAGCCGTGTTTGAATTCTTTGTGAAGAATTTCATTGTTTGCCTGCTTTTTACTTTTTTAACATAAGAGTTCTTATCATATATCATGCCATGGGTCCCAAGAAAGTCAGTGGTAAAGTTCAACCTAAGAAAATAGTTGAGAGAAAGACGAAAGAGTAAAACAAGAAATCATTCTCAGTGAACAAATGTGATGTCTCACTACAGAAGTGTTAAAACGTAGGGAAAAACAAGTGTCTTTAGACAGATTCTTAGTAAGACAGGCAACCAGTGAACCACAACCAAGTCTCCGTGGTATGCATGCAAAACGTATGAGAGAGAGTACCCCAGAAATGTCATCACTGCTGTTATAATGGAAGGGGACTCCTCTTCCAAACATTAACACCTCTCCTCCCTCTTCCATACGCCAACAAGAGTCCTCATTCATGGTAAGATATACATACAGTACTTCATTTTACCTAGTACAAAATGAGTGTTATTTGGTATAAAATGTATTTTTAAGTTAATATTTTTGGGGGTGTGGAACAGATTAATTTAATCTACATTATTTCTTATGGGAAAATTTGTTTTGGTTGATGATGCATTTCTCATATATATATTATATATTATATATTTTATATATATTTTATATATATATATATATATATATATATATATATATATATATATATATATATATATATATATATATATATATATATATATATATATATATATATATATTGCATACAGTGGCACCTCGACATACGATTGCCCCAACTTACGATAATTTAGAGTTACGATGTAAATTTCATAAAAAAAATGCGACTTGACATCCGATGGTGTCGTCGACTTACGATATTTGTTGGTACACGTTCGGGCTGACTGAGTGCGTGGTTCCCGGTCACGTGGCCGACCTGCCTCAGTTTACTACAGCTGCCCGCTTAGTGACGATCGCGCCTATAAGAAATTCCGCTTTTGTGGTGATTTTTTGCATTTTGAACATTAAAGTAATTATTATATATCATGCCATGAGTCCCAGGAAAGTCAGTGGTAAGGCTCAACATATGAAAACCCATGTAAGGATGACCATAGAGCAGAAACAAGAATACAGAATGTCTCTTCCTCAAGAATTAAGAAAATGTGTGCAGCATGGGAAGAATTGCAAACCTTTGCTGAAACGACTCACCCAAATCCAGCTGCAGTAGGTCGTTGCCTTAACCTATTCAATGACACTGTGATGCATCATTACAATCATTACAGACAAATGTTAAAACGAAGGGAAAAACAAATGTCTCTTGACAAATTTGTAGCGAGACAAACAAGCACTGAACCACAACCAGGTCCTAGTGGTATTCAGGAAAAACATAGAAGAGAGAGTACCCCAGAGAAAACATCACTGCCTGATGTGATAATGGAAGGGGACTCCCCTTCCAAACAGTAACAACTCTCCTCCTCACCCTCATCACCATCTTCCATATGCCATCAAGAGCCCTCCATAAAGGTAAGAGAAGCTTTGGTACTGTATTGTAGTTAGAAAAAACATTGTATTCAGTATAAAATGTATTTGTATGTTAATATTTTGGAGGGTGGGGAACGAATTAATTCAATTTCCTTTATTTCTTATGGGCAAAATCGCTTCGACTTACGATATTTCGACTTACGATCCATCTCTGGGAACGGATTAGCATCGTAAGTCGAGGCCCCATTATATATATATATATATATATATATATATATATATATATATATATATATATATATATATATATATATATATATATATATATATATATATATATATATATATATATATATATATATATGTCGTACCTAGTAGCCAGAACGCACTACTCTGCCTACTATGCAAGGCCCGATTCTAGGCTCATTGAAACAACAAGGGACCCGAGAGCTGCAAGCTTTCTTTTCCAGCGCCTCAGTGTGGCGATACAGAGGGGAAATGCGCACTGCATCCAGGGTTCCTGCCCGCCATCTGAGGAGCTGGAGGAACTCGACAACCTATGACAACCATCTTTGTAACCCATATGTAACTCCTTTTTTGTAACAAAGTTCAAATAAAGTAAATATATATGTGTACATACAAAAGAATGGGGGTGGTAGGAGAAGATAATATTAGTGTTCAGTGAGAAACCACAAGGTCTCCTCTGAATACTTTTTATTTTCTTCTCCGAGGCTATGGGTCCCCACATTGGCACCAGAGGTGGTACCCTCACAAACTTTTTATATATATATATATATATATATATATATATATATATATATATATATATATATATATATTTGCCTAATAAGCCTAGTTTTCCTGAATTAATATATTTTCTCAATTTTTTTTTCTTATGAAATGATAAAGCTACCCATTTCATTATGTATGAGGTCAATTTTTTTATATTTTAGTTAAAATTAACGTAGATATATGACCGAACCTAACCTAACCTATCTTTATAGGTTAGGTTAGGTTAGGTAGCCGAAAAAGTTAGGTTAGGTTAGGTTAGGTTAGGTAGGTTAGGTAGTCGAAAAACAATTAATTCATGAAAACTTGGCTTATTAGGCAAATCGGGCCTTGCATAGTAGGCAGAGTAGTGCGTTCTGGCTACTAGGTACGACATATATATATATATATATATATATATATATATATATATATATATATATATATATATATATATATATATATATATATATATATATATATATATATATATATATATATATGTAACTCATTTATGCATACAAGCCTGTACATACAGTACTGTATATACATTCATTTAGTGATACATTCACTGATACATATCAATAAATGAATGAAATGTATGAATATATCAGTGAATGAATGTATCCAAAAGAACATAAGAACTAAGGAAACTGCAGACGCCCTATATTCTCATAGGAGGTAGCTCCAGTGTCTTCTAGCTCCACTAGAAGACACTGGAACCAGAGGAGACAAAGATAATAACAAACCGAGCAAGATACTGAGAGATACACTACGCAGAGATGCTTATAGTATAAGGGAAGAATAAAGAGTGAAGACATGCAAAAACCAGAAACACAAGTGAGTCAATGGGAAGTAAGATCTTATTAGGCTTATTAAGTAAGGCTTATTACTTAATAAGTAAGTAAGGCTTAAATAAGTAGTAAGGCTTATTAATTTGTATTCATAAATGGATCAGCATTTTGCATATAAAAATGTTTTCAATATAAATTGACAATATTTGGTGTAGTCTGTGAACTAAAGTAACGTACAACATAAAATTAAAATTGCGAGACACACATAAAAATACAAATTTAAAATAATAATGATTAATAATAAATATACTGTAGTACAAGTACAGTATACATCAAATTATACAAGCACAGATACAAAAACAAATACGAAGAACTTATTATAAGCATTGTGAATAATACCACCAGTTCTGCATCAGAAGAACAGTATGTAGAAGATCTGACCAACAAGATTTAGACTGCTTCTCCGCAAGCCCTCTTTGCGACAGTAATTCCATAATATAAATTATCCAGGAATTCATTCTCTGATTATTTGTTTTATTTTATGGTGCCCTTCAGATCCGTTATACCATGTGTAAAACTCGTTATCAAGTTGTATTTTCTTACAATTGTGTTGATGTTTCTAACAAAGATAGCAGCCAATGAAAAGTGAATACCTGAAAAGAACTAATGATGTCAGATGGGTGGGTGAACAAGTGAAATGAACTAGAGGCAAACGTGATGAAGACTAACTCTGTTCACAGCTATAAAAGTTATGACAGAGGGAGATCGAGAGTAGTTGCACCAGACAACCACCAGCCAAGAGGGAGGGTACCAAGAGTTAACTTCACTCACTGCAAACACAAGGCAAATATACACACAAATTACATACACAATATATAAAATAGATGAAGTAGAGATGGAACCTTGCACACAATAGACATAGATAATGCCATCACACATTGTTACACATTAAATAATCCCACCCAATTTCTCAAGGCAGAAAAAAGAACCATGAGGAGTAAAGCACACATGAAAGTATGTGATTAAAAGCCAAGGATAAAAATATGTGGAAAAGGAAGCTACACACAGCAATTATAAAGTCAATATTATCAATGAATGGAAATAATATAACTATGAAGAAAAATGGTAGCATGCCCATCATCCAAAGTTAGTCGTAGCCATGATGATGGAGTAATGAATACATTTGCATAATTAATTCTAAAAGGTAATACTGCATATTCTCCAGAAATAACTCTCATTCCAGTGGATGGATTTCTGTCGGTTGATATTTTAAAAACTATATATGGTTAGCTATTAGGAAAAAATAAATATAAACTTAATGGCAGTTATTAAAGACTTTGTAAGGAATAACTGGAAAATATTCAACCTAATATTCAACTGCCATGAAACAAATTACCTACCCATCAAAATATATAAAATGCACACAAAATGGTAAAGACTACATTTTCTAGGAGCAAAAATCAAATTTGTGGTTTGTTACATATGATGGTCACCTATGATGCTCACAAGATAATATAGCTCCTTTATCAAATTTTGCAACATTTGAACACATTTTGGTTGGTAGTAATGAACTTAGTAGACTGATGTGAGGAAGCTGGTCGCAGGCACAGGCTGATTGGTTGTGGTGCACACTAGGAGGGTCCGTTATACAATATTTACAGTCAAGCAAAACCTACTGCAGCCCAGCTCTTGCGGAGGGGAGGTACTAGTACATTTGTGTGGTATGGACAACTCTAGAGGCGGATCCACACGTGCCCTCTATGGTACAGTGTGGTGCAGCAAATCTTAAAGAGTGTCCATTATTAATTTCACAATAAACTCTAGTAGCAGTTGTACATTAATTTGTTGTAGCACTACCAAGACATACTGCACAACACTTGGCCAAAACTTATGTTTTATGTTTTTGGGCTTATTCTTACTTGAGATACTTCGCTACATATATAACTGTATATCGATGTACTGTACTCGATACTTGTTTTGAGGTTAACATAATGTTTCCAAGTACTACCTATTAAATTCAGGAAAATTAGTAGTCCAACTAAATGAGAACCCACACAATACAGACTATTGTATACTGCGAGGTAGCTCAAAACTATCCACGACTGGGCTGCAATACTACCTGCTAACGACCTAACAAGCTGGCAGGCCGCAGTCATGATGGAATGAGTTACCTGTGCGCTTTCATCTCCCGAAGGAGAGGTCGCAATTCTGACATGCTTCCCATTTTCTCAGCTGTGGGAACCAAAGCAACAGCTTCATATACAAAAATATATTATGGTAAAAGTTTCTAACAAAGACTAAGTGGATAGACACTAATATTATATTATATTATATATATATATATATATATATATATATATATATATATATATATATATATATATATATATATATATATATATATATATATATATATATATATATACATATATATATATATTAATCTCAAAGATTTCTACAACAATAAATCAGTAGATAAAATTAATGCATTTAATTTTGCAAAATTTAACTATTAAAAATTAACTAAGCATTGACACATTAAAATGCTACTATATTTTTTATAAAACATTATCAAAATTATGTTATCACTGAAATTAGTAAAAGACCTTAAAATAATTGCAATACTATATACAATAAACAATATTAAAACATTGAACTACACATGTTGGCTACCATAAAACAAATAAAACTACTGTACTACATATCTCCAAACAATCAGTATTTAGAAAATGTACTTTTATATCAAAGCCTTATTACACAAGAATGAGATGATTTTCATGTAACAGTTATAACCATGAGAGAGTAAGTTTAATAAAGATGACACTTTTGCATCTTTTCTGGCTATTAATGAAAACAAGAATGCTACAAACATGAGTCAGTATTTCCTGTCATCCAGGGAAGTGGCATCTCTAGGTATCAAGCGATACCCATACAACAGCTGGATACCTTCGAGTTACTGCTGTCTACCCAGCTGCCAAAATAAATATGATGGATAATATCTTATGGCTGCTGATACAGATTATGATATACAAACCACACATCAAAAAATGGATGTGCAATTGAATTCCAGCCCCACTAGAGGGTAGTGAATTTTCACATAAACATAATATACTGTATATCATTCACAACAGTCAAGTTAAATTATATACAGCATTTTACCAATAGCTTGAGTGAATATTCAGTTTCTAACAGTTAAAAATGGCAAAGGAAAAGTTCTTGAACACAGAGAGAGTGGAAAACCAATGGAACAGAGTAGGACAGCAAAGCTCTGAATAAGATAAGAGGGAAAGGCCCCTGGTAAAGATAGAATAACTGCAGAAATATTGTAGTACAGGGGTACTGGTACTGCACTCTGTGTATGTATCTGTCTTGTGTTCATATACCTGTATGTTTCTGTATGACATCTGCCTTTGTCTGTTATTCTGTGTAGGGTTTAGGCTCTTAATACTAGGCCTAATCTGATCTCAAACACAATTATGTTGTCATCACATTAATTAGCTTTGGGACTGAAATTATAAGCTGTCAACAAATTAAGGGCCAGGATATATAATGCTTACAAATGACTTAACACATTAAGAACATGTACACACACAGTCATTCATGTAAACACACATTTACACAAACAAATACAAATAGCTGCCTATCAATGCAGACATATACCTAATCATGCCTGATTATAGTGTAGATGAATATTACAAGAAGATTAAAGATAGTTTATTTACAGGCGATGAGTCACAATAACGTGGCTAAAGTATGCTGACCAGACCACACACTAGAAGGTGAAGGGACGACAACGTTTCGGTCCGTCCTGAACCATTCTCAGAATGGTCCAGGACGGACCGAAACGTTGTCATCCCTTCACCTTCTAATGTGTGGTCTGGTCAACATAGTTTATTTATTTTTAGTTGCCACTTATGATCTTTGTTATCTTATAAACACACTACACATGATTATACTAGTAAATGTCTTTAAAACGGGGTGATAAAACGGCTAACTCAATCATTCGACAGACTGTTGAATTTTAATGTAGGTTATTCACTGAAGGAAAGGCATCCTGCCATACTGTTGTGTTATGCATAACCCTTCAATACTATATAGGTCATACCAGTCTTAGCTCTACTGGGACAAATATCTTTTGTAATTTGTGATAAATTTTGGACGTGCAAAGTGTTTGAGTACCCAGACCTTTATAATTTTGGTATCAGTACCTAATGGTTGCTCTAATATGTATATATCTTCATCCACAAACCAATACAAACACAGACAACATGAGAAAATAAAAAATGAAGACTATGGTATCCTTAGGGATCAAGAAAATGTTGTCAAGTTTATTCTCGTGACCTATGTTCATATGGTCTTATTCTGCAATGGTATAGATACAGTGGTTAATTGTGATAATTGTGGTTAATTGGATATAAATGTGTTTTAAGTGATTATATTGTTGTAACTATGTGGGGAAAATGGGTAAAATATATATCTTCATGCTGGCACCCAGATGTCCGGGGTACTTGGCACACACTGAAACTTCAGATATCACTAGTTTATTGTTAATATAGCAATAGGTTCTGCATGCACAGCATCCATTCTCACATTTTATTGAACAAGGTTTAATTTTCAACTTGCACAATAACTTTAATAATAAAAACAAATATTACTAAGTTATTAATTCACCATGAACATCAGTAAATATTTTAAATGCACCAAGACTGGGAATTTTACTGGCAAAACATTATCTACAAATTAAAGTCTTATTCTGGCATTTCTCTACATTGTTGTCATAAAATAAAGTCTGTACCTTTCATTGCTTGTACAGTATCACTATAAACGTTCCATCACACTAATTTATACTTAATAGTTTGATGCTGTTGAGTTTGTTAACAAAATTCAAACATCAATCTTTGATATCTGCGTATCTTTGCACAGATACTTTATTATCTGTATAGTAAAGCCCCTATAAAGAGTGGCTTTACTCTTTATTGCATGTGGTAACCACTTTATTACAAAAGCGGAAACTAATTACCAGCATTTGAACAAAATTTCAAATATAATTATTGCATTTTAATTGTATGCGTTTTATCATAAATGACAAAAGATAACATTTTCCTATTTCATATATATGAGGGAATGTGAGGTACTGGAACACATGGCACAAAAGTGTATGATTAGCAGCCCGAATAAAATACTGTAACACTTATCTGTGTATATTTTTACAGTATTATTATTATGCCAAACTAGAGTCTATGGCCTCAATTTCCTTGTACAGTGCTGTATGAGCTCTGTTGTGATCCAAAGCTTGCTAAACCAGATATTTGGGTTATCCAGCCAAAATTGAATCCAGATCATTTTCTGGCAAAACTTATTCATATCCGACCAGAAATCCGGGTGACCAGAGATTAAGTTGTGTAAATTTTCAAGATCTATGGCATCAAACAAGAAAATGAACTACAACATGGTAAGTTGGTTTGTTTTAAGGATTCATAATTTAGACAATTCTCATATTATGCTTAAATGCACAGAATTTTTCCAACACTTCCTACTTTCCTAAATATCATGATATACTTCCTTTACATTAGTTCATGGTTATACAAATTAATCAAACATTACGCATGACTACTGACAAAAATTAAGACCAAATAATATAAATCTACTAAATGCCTTATTACATAGTGGTTACCATGACAACGTTACTAAGACATCCCAAGGTATGCATCTTACCTGGACCTGTCTAAACTACCTTTGCTTATCAATTAAGCCAATGACTTAACTTACATATCTTACTAAAGCCAAGGGACCACAATTTCTGTCAACTGTGTGAGGGCAACCAAGTGCTTACCTATGATGAAATAAAGACTTTGTAATACTGGATACCTAGAAATGTCTTGCAACACCGCCTGGTTCGTTCCGTTTTAGATAACGATTGCCATGTACATATTATTATGTAGATACGAGAAATAAGACCTACGGCTTACCGCTCACTTATCTCCATCCTAATCCTAAATACTCTGGCATTTTGGGTTCCTTGTAGGAGGCTCTCAATCTTGTTAATCCATTGCCTTCCTCTCGTCTTAGTCGTCTGTCAAAACACAACAATAGGTAACGAGGGACAGGTAAACAATAGAGATCGGGCTCTACAATCTGCACCATAAGTTAGCCAAGTAGCATTCACGACCTCTTGTGAGATGCTTTTTTGTTTCAACAAATTTGAACATTTATTTTTCCCCCAAGTTGATATTCTGAAGATTCTCACTACGCATGTGCCAAGTACACTTTTCAATAGCCAATGCATTTGAGAATGTTTCTACGTAGATGATGTCCCTAAATATTATACAACAACCCCTACATTTAAACTAAGAGTTTAAGAAGTAATAATTTTGCAAGAAATGCTGTGCACTGGAAAAACAATTATAAAATTTAATTGAGAACATGACATCCTAGACTATACATGAATCAACGATCAAAGAAAACGGAAGGAAAATTACGGTAACATAAAATTGCCTTTATGAACCGTAATTTCTACATCTTATTTATTTATTTATTTATTTATATATATATATACAAGACGGTACATTGGGATTGTGAGGATACATAATATAGTAATTACAATCTTGTAAAGCCACTAGTACGCGCAGCGTTTCGGGCAGGTCCTTAATCTAAGAAAATTTTAGGCAGGTAAATACTTGCAAAATTTATAAAAAATGATAACAGTTACAAGGCAAGACAAAAAAATAAAAGATGAGAGAAAATTGTAGGTATATTAAAGCACATAGGTAACTCAGATTGATTGCAATGACAGCTTGTATGGTAGTTGACAAAAATTGGCAGGCACAATACAGCACATGGCTAGCACCTAAAAGAAGACAGCAATGAACACAATGATAAGGTTGTTTGGGTTAAGTACATAAAAATTGGGAGATTGGGTAACACTAGGTACAGAGCAAATTTAAAGCTCAGTGTAGGAAACTACGAAGATGAAATTAGGTACTTTTTGGTTTTGTTTTTAAATGAGGCAAAAGTTTGACAGTTTTTCAATTCACTAGCGAATAAGTTCCATAGACTAGGTCCCATAATTTCCATAGAGTGTTTACATAGATTAAGATTGACCCTGGGGATATCAAAGAGATATTTATTTCTGGTGTGGTGATAATGGGTCCTATCTGTCCAGGGAGAGTTTCAGAGCATGGTTTGCATTTAAGAACAGGGTTTTGTAAATGTAGTTGACACAAGAGAATGTGTGGAGGGAGTTAATATTTAACAAGTTTAGGGATTTAAACAAGAGAGCTGAGTGTTGTCTGAGAGCAGTTAGTTATTATTCTGATAGCAGATTTTTGCTGGGTGATGATGGGCTTAAGGTGGTTTGCAGTCGTAGACCCCCATGCACAGATACCATAATTAAGATAGGGGTAGATTAGTGCATAATATAGTGAGAGGAGAGCAGAGTTAGGAACATAATATCTTTTTTAGAGAGTAGACCAACTGTCTTAGAGACTTTCTTAGTTATGTGTTGAATGTGGGTGCTGAAGTTGAGTCTCTTGTCTAGGAATAGGCCAAAAATTGCCATCATTTTTATTACTGATGTTAATGTTGTCTATCTGTAGCTGAATTGCATTTGATGATTTGCTTCCAAATAAGATGTAGTAGGTCTTTTCTATGTTTAATGTTAGTTTGTTAGTTGACATCCATAAGTGGACTTTTTTAATTCATTATTCACAACATTATTTAGTGTATGTGGGTTGGGGTCTGAATAGATAAGAAATTATCTTCGGAAAATATAGAATTCAATTTCTTTCTTTATTATGCACCCCATACCCATCCCGTGGGCGGTGGTGTAAAGGGTTACAGAGGAACATAATCGGTTCAGGAACTGAACCCTCTAGTTCATTTAGCTAAGCAATAGCAATCTTTTGACGCTAGTTACAAAATTATTAATGTTATATATACATGTACACATACTCATGCATACATGTACACATACATACGTATACATATATACATACACATACATATTTAATCACTCACACAAATACACACATCAATAATATTTTGTGTCACAAGTGATTCAACAAGAGGCTCACAACAGTCACTATACAAGGCACTTTACATCTTTGAGGAGTCGCACAGTTACTAGTCTTCTTTCTAGTCTAGTTACTAACATGTCCGAGCATGTTACTAGTGTAACAAGCTCGGACACGAGCATGTTACAGTTATGTTTTAAAGAGTTAAGAACAATTAAGGATGATAAGGAGTTACTTACAATCAATGTATCAAGTTTGGAGACTTGTACACATTTCAGTGCAAGGAGCAAGGCAAATAGTTTGGTCTGAAGGGTAGAGGCCCAGTTGTTTATACGGACTATAATATAAGCCATCGCCCATTGTCAGGACAACTGCACTTCCAGCTGCACCCGTGGGGCGGTGTAGGGAACCATCAGTGTATATGATTTGAGAGAGAGAATGCTCTGTGGACAGAGCATCAATATGGCTTAATGCGTTGAGCTTTGCCTCAAGACGAAGCTTGGGCTGATCTCTAATTTGCTTCTTGGGTGGAAAGGGAGGGATTAAAACTGGAAAGTGTGTAATCTCCCACGGTGCAGGAAAGTGCCGTTGTTGTTTCTCTTGGTACAAATGTAAGCCAAACAAATCCGAACAAGCTTAAATGGTCCCCAAGCCAAACATGCAACTGAAAACCCCACACACAACAAGTGAGGTGAACTCCACACCCCACACTCCAAAGTCAACTAGTGAGGTGATTCGATGAGATATCTATGCCCAAGATATCTAAATTTAGAGATATCTAAAACCCTGATTTGTGCCTCGGAGAGGCTGCGGGATCCAGTAAGTTCAGTAGAACTTCGGTTTCAAGTCTTTTACCCTGTCGTAGCTCAGTCGAATTAAGGCAGTGTCTGGGATGCTCCCAGACGCAGGTTCGAATCCTCGTCACGGCCCTTGTGGATTTGTTCATTTATGCCCAAGCTTAATTACCACCAAATGCTGTCCAGTCGTTGGGGGATATAGCCTAGTGGCTGGGGGTGCTCCACCGGAACTCCCAAAGTCTTACGATATTTAATACCATGATTAATATAACCGTAATTACCTTCGTAAATGCATTAGTATAAATTTAAATATACGGACTTGTAATTAGTTATTATTTGTAATGGATTTATTAAATCTATAATGGATTAAATAAATTATATTATTACTATTATTATATTACTCGTGGCCAGTCACGAGTAAGAGTGCCACACTATGGCACTGACCACAAGAGTGCCACACTATGGCACTGACCACGAGTAAGAGTGCCACACTATGGCACTGACCACGAGTAAGAGTGCCACACTATGGCACTGACCACGAGTAAGAGTGCCACACTATGGCACTGGTTACGAGTAAGAGTGCCACACTATGGCATTGGCCACGAATAAGAGTGCCACACTATGGCATTGGCCACGAGTAAGAGTGCCACACTATGGCATTGGCCACGAGTAAGAGTGCCACACTATTGCATTGGCCACGAGTAAGAGTGCCACACTATGGCACTGACCGTGAGCAGTGTTGCCACGCCAAAATACTGACCATGAGCAGTGTTGCCAGGCCAGCGCACCAGCCATGAGTAATGCTCGTGGTTTAAAAATGAAGGACTGTCCATTATTGCATAACACTGTAGTTATAGATTCCTTCAAATTCATGCGCACATACTAAATTATCCTCGCCTCTCAAGGTATCAAGTATATATAGGCGTCGGGCCAGATTCACGTAAGCACTTACGAACGTGTACATTTTTCCTCAATCATTGACGGCTTTGCTTACATTTATGAAACAGTTTACAAGAATGAAAACTTCCCAATCGAGTGTTTTTATTGTTATAAACGGCCTCCTGGTGCTTCGGAGCTCATTAACTGTTTAATAATTGTAAACAAAGCCGCCAAAGATTGATAAACGATGTACAGGCTCGTAAGTGCTTACGCGAATCTGGCCTCAAGCCGGAAAGGTTATGTAGCACCATCAAATGTGCGGACTAGTCAGAGGGCGCTAAATATCACTGAAGATGCCAATATGAGAACAGAAAAAGTAACTGGAAACTTTTAAGTCGAACAAACTAACAGGAGAATAGCTTGAGCTACCTCATCCCTTTGTGTGTATTTTACATCAATAAACTTATTTCAATTTCAATTTCAAATTCAAACTAACAATACTGAGGAATGTCACACAACCAAGGTGTAATTTTGGCTCGAAAATTACTCTTGGACCAAATTATAAGAAGGCCTTACTGTATAAAGGATCAAATTAAATTGCATATTGACTTTGCTTAAAATATATTCTCAGATTTTAGATATTTTTTTTCCTTTTTTTCCCTCCAATTTCTTATTTTTTTATTATGCACCCCATTCCCATCATGTAAAAACTTTATTACATATTCGTTGAGGGAGATCATTACATACACAAATCATTAAAATATTACCCACCAACCAATGCCCGGTAACATAAGAGCAGTATAGCTGTAAAAACTACTCCGAATAATAATTATGATATCAATTAAGTCTCTCAAAGCAGTTTATCAAGATTGTTTACAAACTATATACACTTTTTTTACTGGTCTGGCCGGTGTTCTGTGACCATTACACTTATATTCGAGTACAATACAAATTAAAACATATTTAAAATAAATAAATAAATATAAATATGTTTATTCAGGTAAGGTACATACATACAAGTGATGTTACATTAATGGATTGATATATAGATAGAGCTAGTACATACAATGCCTAAAGCCACTATTACGCAATGCGTTTCGGGCAAAGTGAGAATTTACAAATTTAAGTGAGAATAAACTAATCCGGGCTATTGATGACAGACAGCAAAGGTTATCTTCCAAACAATTAACGAACCTTTATTGTTTTCTTAAATTAAATTGTCTAAATTCTCATTAGATCCCTTGCCCTTTCACACCTGCAGCTGTAACGGAGGTCACAGGATGTATAAACTTCATTTCAAGTCCTGGTGCATTCTTAAAGTGTCACTTTTTCTTTATTATACATCCTTCACCAGGATTCTGTATCTCAATGTTACTTACTGCACATCTATACCATAAGAGAATGTTTGTCTGTGTGTGTGTCCAACGTTAGAGGCCAGATGGTTGGGGCAGCCTCACCCAAATTATCAGAGGGAATGGTCTGGGGTCCGGGATGAACATAGTCTAGTTGGAGTCACCAGAACTCATAAGGGAAGAGCGTGCAAGGATCATATTCAGACCCTCATACAAATATACAAATAATGGTGGCAGTGGTGCTGTTGTTTCTGGCGGTGGTGCTTCTGTTGGTGGCGATGCTGGTGGTGGTTGTGGTGGTGGTTCTGCGGTTTCTGGCGGTGGTGCTTGTCTTGGTGACAATGCTGCTGCTGCTGCTACTGCTGGCGGTGGCGGTGCTGCTGCTTCTGGCGGTGGTGCTGGTGTTGGTGCTGCTGCTAGTGGTGGTGTTGATAGCAGGTGATTATCAGTTGAGCTCGCAACTTTTGTGCTCCCGAAACACCTTAATAATAAGTCTCATATTCCAGCCATCCTCCAGGGTTCCTGCGCAAGATGAGTTTGCGACACTCGTCATAAATAACGATAAGTAGCGAGAATGGAAGAGCTGGCAGCCACCAATAGAACCTGGAGAGAAAAATGCGCAGATTGCCTTTAATCACATATAATCATTATATTGCTAAAACTGTCAGATAGTCAGTACTGATTAATTAAAGAAGATTAAGCCACCTTACGGGCATGAGTAGCTCGTAGACCTAGTACTGATTATCTGACTGGAAACCATCGTCACTAAATATTATTACAGATACTTAAGTTAATTGTGTAATAAATTGTCAACATACTGCAATATTTATTCTTTACGACTCATGTGGGGCTCCCAAATTTCACCTGGGTGGTCAATGTGCTTGATCAACTTGGATTGATGACTCTGCCCCTATTTTTGCAGTGGCTAACTCCTCGCCAGCTTCGAGATTGTGTAGTGCAGACTTGGAGCGGCCTGTAGGGTCAGTTGTGAGGCATCCTAAATCTCCGTGTCTCAAGTTGTGTACACGGACGCGTCGGGTCTCGGGTAGGGCTTTGTCTCTAGTCGTCACCAGCAGGGAGTCACGAATTAAGGCTCTTCTGTAGACTTTGATTTAGAGGATATCATCACTTCTGGCTTCTCGGAGTTTAATCCTCCAATACCGTTCACATTCGTGGCTTCTCTAATGTGCTCACAGACTGTCTCTTTAGCTTCCGTTCGATTTCACTGGATATGTGAAACGTTCGGTCTTCCGTAGGTGGAACGTTAGCTGTGTATGTGACTATTTCTGAATTAGGAGGTGGATACTCTGTATCTGAACTGACACCGAGAGTTAAATCCCCTGCAGTTCAGGCTCTGATGGAGAGCTTTGGGGTTGCGACATTCCTTTGCTCCGATGTGGCCGGTTCAGCTCGGGTTTCCAGGCTGCTCTTGCATTGCCACGACAAAGTTATGGTAGTAACGTGAAAAACTAGTAAACATTTCTGCTCGCCATATTGTTGGTCGGTCGTATTCCGAAAATCACGCGGGTGAGTGTACGTTGTATGTACGCTTTGACACTCTTAACACTTATTATTACGTAGGAATTATTGAATATTATGAATCTAATATATTCTCTTGTTATAAATCGCTATAATATTTTCAACATTTTTGTTACTAGTTGTCACACTAAAGATTTTTTCTTACTGAACATGAGAGTCATGCATGAGGGCAGAGGAAGGACTTCACAGCATGCTGCTCTAGTTCAAGTACCTTTATTGAGACAATAAAATACATCTCAAAGGGATAGAGTAGCTTAGGCTATTTCTACTCTTCTCATACACACAGAAATCACAATAGCATGATACATCAAATGAACAAATTTACAAGGGCCGTGATGGGGGTTCGAGCCTACATCCGGGATGATCCCAGACGCGCCTTAATCGATTGCGCCACGACATGGTAAAAAGAATTGCTGCTGTTGGTAGAACAGCTTGTTGAGAGTCCAGGTGCATGGGGGAAATCGACACAAACCGGGGTTTGTGTCTCGGAGAGGCTGCGGGATCCGTGTGACGGCAGTAGCACTCCCGATTGCAATTCTTTTACCATGTCATGGCGCAATCAACTAAGGTGCGTCTGGGATCATCCGGGACGTAGATTCAAACCCTCATCACGGCCCTTGTTGATTTGTTCATTTACCCTTCTCATGCTGCACTATGCTGGTCACCACGCGGAAAAAAAGTAACATTATGGGGACCCACAGTCTACGGCTTAATTAAATATACGAATGCAGTGGGGGTAGAAATAGCCTAAGCTACTCTATCCCTTTGAGATGTATTTCTTGCTTATCTTAATAAACATACTTGAACTTGAACTTGTACGAATGCAGAACGTTTTAATAAATCAGCAAAGTATAATACTGTATTCATATTTGCGTAACATATATATACACTACATAGCAAGAGTTGTTGCCATAAAGTTGTTGTTGTATGTGTGAAATTCTTAACATTATTGTGAATGAGAAGAAGATAATACTTACTTGAGTGGGTACATTCTGAGGCCGGTGTCCATGCCCGGGGTGTAGGAGAGGAAGGCGGCCAGAGCAGTCTCGAAGAACAGGCCAAAATTAAGCGCCTGGTTCCTGAAAAGGATCACATATATTAATAACCTATTGTCCAATATGGACATCCAATACTATGCAAAAAATAAATGGAAGGTTTTAATGTATCTTCTTGAGGTTATCTTGAGATGATTTCGGGGCTTTTAGTGTCCCCGCGGCCCGGTCCTCGACCAGGCCTCCACCCCCAGGAAGCAGCCCGTGACAGCTGACTAACACCCAGGTACCTATTTTACTGCTAGGTAACAGGGGCATAGGGTGAAAGAAACTCTGCCCATTGTTTCTCGCCGGCGCCCGGGATCGAACCCGGGACCACAGGATCACAAGTCCAGCGTGCTGTCCGCTCGGCCGACCGGCTCCCCAAATGTAAACAACAAAACTGAAACGGCATTAATGTCTTAAAAACCATCTATCTAAAATTACAGTTAGTTTTTTAAAAACGTGAAACCAATCCTCTTCTGTTAGTAAATTCAAGCGATTTAAATGAACTTACTTCATTCCCTGGTGAAAGAGGGAAAGACGTCGGGTCTTGCAGACGATCAATACTGCCCACTGCACAATCACAATGGAGATGAAGAAGGCAGTGTGGCATGTGTGCTCTAGAACCTTGCGGTCACTGTAGGTCTGAGAAAGATTAAAATAAATAGCAATATTTACTATAATGGCTAATTTCTAACTGATAAATTGACAAACATGCATATCACCGGCTGCTATAGTTAAAGTACGTTTATTGAGACAATAAAATACATCTCAAAGGGATAGATGTGCAGACACCATGACCATCCAGTCACACCTTCGGCTCGACAGGGACGGAATTGCATCCTGGGCGGGGTCAGTAATTCGACCTTGGGGGAGCAGGGGAGTTAAAGTCTATGAATACACTCTGGCTGCCTGTCCCCCGACACAATGAATTATTAACATTATTAAGTATAGAGTATTTGACTTTCCCCCGAGTCCGACTATATTACACAAACACGTTATGAAAGTAAAGGGGCCCACGACTTCTTGTCTGAGACAGGAAGTTTGTTACTGTCTCAGACAACGTGAATCAAACTCCATAACCATCATTACCACCACCTTTCCTTAGTACTAATGTTATATTCAGTTGTTATTATTTTAAAAAACAGCAATTGCTTGTTTCCCTACAAGGATACTGGACAATAGTTCAATTACTTAATTTCAAATTGGCTGTACTTCTGTTAACTTCCAAACCACTGTAAATACTCAACGTATACCTCAACCATTGTATTAACTTCAAGACGTTCCGGACACGATGTGGGTGTAGCGGCTACACCAGAGCCGCTGCGCAGAGCCGTTCACAAACACCCGTAACGCTTTTATATATTTAAATATATTTATGCTAACCCCTTTGTTTCCTGTGTAATAATCATACCCAGGTCAGTTAAATTATTTCCCTTCCAATACCAAGCATTTCTCGTCCTTATCAACCTGCTGTTTTGTACAGAACAGTATTAGGAGCCTTACTGAAGTTACCAATTAATAATTAGGTGCTTGTATATATATATATATATATATATATATATATATATATATATATATATATATATATATATATATATATATATATATATATATATATATATGTATGCACTAAGTTGCTTTTAAACCGCAAGTTTGAAGTACAGAACTTTAGATACTCACACCCACCAGGGGACTTGAACCCTGGCCATCAGGATGGCAGGTACGCACTTGTATTCACTACACCATACTCAGAGCCCCAAAAGAGGTGGGAATTCGGGGTATTTAACTTCCCAGATATCCCATCCTCTCCAGGCAATGAGACAGTGAGAGATCATTCACGTTTTCCATCAAGCCCTATTATATGGGAGAACACGGTGTCCATGCTTTAATGCACTAACTTGCTATTAAACTGCAAGTTTGAAGTATAGAACTTTCGACACTCACACCCACCAGGGGACTTGAACCCTGGCCATCAGGATGGCAGGTACGCACTTGTATCCAATACACCATACTCAGAACCCCAAAAGAGGTGGGAACTTGGGGTTCCCAATCCAAACAACTTTACCATTGTGATCATTGCTGTTTTCTTATATGTGCTATCAATTTGCTGTATGGTGCCTATTAATCTTTGTTTAAATTACCAATCAAGCTGTCAATGCATTCAATCAGAGATTTAATATACTAATGTGCTTTAATATATCTACTAATCTCTCTCATCTCATTTTTTTCGTGCAATGTATCTGTTATCATTTTATTAATTCTGCTAGAATTTACCTACTTAAAATTATCTGTTAGATTAAGGACCTGCCCGAAACGCTGCGCGTACTAGTGGCTTTACAAGATTGTAAATACCATGCTACATATCCTCACAAACCCAATGTACCTTTTTGTATATAAATAAATAAATAAATTATAATACATACAAATACAAATTAGTATCATTCTTAATATCTTGGCCAAAAGTTTAACTTATATAAATAACTTTGGCCGTGTTTTAAGTAAGAATCCTCCATTTAGCCATGTACTAACCCATTCCTGACCGTAGGTATCTTCCACATCATTGATAGCCTCAGAGTCCCACTGTCGACGGATACCAATGAGTTTGTTTGGAAGGAAGCCATTGTCTGCCATGATGACAAAGTAGGTGAAGAACCCTCCGAAGGTCTGGATTATGCCCAGCTGACCATAGGCCACGGAGATGAGCCTGTTGTGTAGGATAACTAATTATGAGTATCTACTCTGGGGGCAGTATTGAATAATAAATTTCATAATCTTAGAATGCCTAGATATTAAACAAAATTTATTTCAAGGTTCACCTCATCTCTCTTATTTTGCTTGTATGAACGCTCTACGGTAAAGGTCTATTTGCTTGAAATGTATTTTGATATGTAAAGAAAAGAGCAAACTATTCAGTAAGACAACACATTACCTCTCGTTCACCAGCTTGTCGCTGAAGGGATTACGTGGCATGCGCTTCATTATATCAGATTCAGCAGATTCATAGGCTAGGGAAATGGCCGGCACCTAAAGATTAACAAAACTAAGTTACTATCTTTTAGCAACAAGTAAAAAAATAATGAATTATAAAATAAATGTTCTCATGCATGTGTTAGATCACAGGACAGCCTCTGAAGAGTTCACGCGCTGCACTAAAGTCAAGATCTGCTGTCTTCTGCTGGGCATGTGAGGCTTTGTCAATATCTGCCGACAGGTTTAATGTCATGAAACTAATTTTTCTCAGCGGCCCTCAATAGTACAGAGGAAGAAGAGCATGGAGATTGATGATCAACCTGAAACAAATTTGACCAGAGAGCACAGGTGAAGCAAAACCACGAATTTTAATTAAGAAAGAGAACAATACAAATAGTAGTTTTCCAGTGGTAAACACCCATCTTTAACTGATTATACTGCACCTCTGCTTGCTCTAATGCCTGAAAGAATGTTTGAAGGGCTGGAAAAGATGCAAAACGAAACCATGAGGATCATTCTCGGATGCCCCCAGGCAACTAAATTACTAACCATGAGGAATTTTCCAAGTGTCGAATCACTGAAATCAATACTTTAATTGGTTTCAATATGCTTAGGCTAACCCACCCCCAACCTCTGCAATATCGCCCTCCGAGCGTTCTTTATCGAAGGTCAGATTCCTTAAAATAGAATATTAAAACTGCAACCGTATGTATCGTAGGAAGATTAGTAATTACTAATTATTAATCTTCCTTCTGCTTGGTCTTGAAGGAGCCGGCCTCGGTAGAAAGGGGGCTGTGACGATCTCTATCTGGAACCCGTAGGTGCGGGACTCAGAAGTCCACCTCTTGGGGCTCGTGCGACCCAGGTTCTGCTTCAGGTGGGTGGGGTCGTTCCTGCCCTTGATGGGGTGGTTCTTCTCCGGCCCCGACCACGGTGGTCTCCGGGTTTGGAGTCCCTGTGCCTTTTTTCACCAACTTCGAGGTCAACTCCTGAGCTCACAGTTCCCGCGACGGCGCTGGAACCAATCGTATTGGTGTTTGCCTTTCCATTAGAGACTTTCGGCGTCGTGAAGAGGGGGGTGGGGGGTGGGACCTGCTGCATGGGTGACAGCTTCTCCATAGCAAAAAAAAAACCCTGGCTTTGCTCCCTGGAGAGGCCACTCCAGACCGGCAACCAGGGCGTAACTCCATGTTCTCCTGAGACTGATGGATGCCTACTACTATGTATCGGGTTCGTGATTGACCAAAACAAACGACAACGGCACTTCCCTGCACCACGAGAGATCATCCCTTTCCAAATTACTATCCCTAGGCAGAATTGATGTTCTGTTCATTGAGCGCTTTCTCTCACAAACTATTTACACTGACGGTTCCCTACACCACTCCCCTGGTGCTGCCAGGAGTGCAGATGCTATGGCAACAAGAGACGGCTCCTATTCTGAGTGGCGAATACGTATAAATGACTGAGTCTATACTCTTCAGACAGAATTGTTTGGCATACTCCTTGCACCCAAACGAGTAAATGTATCCAAAGTTAAACAAAATATAATTTTAACTCGTTATCATCCCAGATTGCACTCAACATGTCAAGACATAACCGTAACATGCTTAAGTGTGATGCAAGGTACAGATATAATAAAATAGTCAATAATGGATTCAGAGTCTGTCTCCTATGGATCCTATCCTATATTGAGCTTCGAATGCATGATAGAACTAATGAATTATCCAAAACATGTGCTCTTAAAGAAAGAGTTGGTTTCCACCTTGGATTGTCTTTGATCGTCCTGAGGTCAGTCATATATCGAGAACTGCTACAAAAGTTAGTAGATCTGAGACAAAGTGCAATTCACACTAGTTATTCTATCGTACTATTATGCAGGAAAAGCCACACATCTATGGGTCTATCATGCAGTAAGGTCAACAGACTCCTAAACGTTACTACAGGTAGGATTAGGTTAGGCTACAAGCACATCTGGAGCGTGCTTGTAGCCTAACAAGCTAACATCTGGAGTTTGCATCACCTATTTAAGTACATCTAATCAAATGTAAACTGTCAGCAGAACAAATCACATACTTTATGTCACTATATAATTGAATGAGAAGAATTTCAAGAATTTTGTGATAATTATATCACAAACGTTCAAGAATGTGCATTTTATCCTCAATAATGTACGACTAGAAATATTACTCATTTTAATTATTATAACAAAATATAGATAAACTGTTTTGGATACTATTAAGCTGTAATATGAAAGGAATATTTTTACTAATTATTAGCAGCTGTGTTGCTAATAATTGCTAGAATATTGTTATTTTTATTTAAAAATATATTAATCCACAATATTATCAAATAACCAGTGCCACTAACTTACCATATCAGTACCCAGATCAATGCATAGGATGGTCACAGTACCCAAGGGTAAAGGTGCAGCGGCAAATATATAGAACAAGAATGGCGCCATTTCGGGTACTTTGGAACTCAAAGTATAGCAGATCGATTTCTTGAGGTTGTCGAAAATGAGTCTGCCCTCCTCAACACCAGTGACGATGGAAGCAAAGTTGTCATCTAACAAGATCATATCAGCAGCCTGTTTGGACACGTCCGATCCAGCAATACCCATAGCAACACCTGAGGGAAGCAAATGTTAACGTTAGCAGAGCTTTAACTCTTCTATGAGGTCATAAAGCAGAAAACTGCAAAATCACCTTCGTATACATTGTCAAGACAAATAACAGAATAACATTTTATAAATTACAATTTCCTTGCTACATGAACCAAAATAACTTACCAATGTCAGCCTTCTTGAGAGCAGGAGAGTCATTAACACCATCACCAGTCACGGCAACAATGGCTCCCATGCGCTGACAACCTTCAACAATGATTAGTTTCTGTTGAGGTGAAGTACGGGCGAACACAATTTCATTGTATTGAATTAGAATATCATCTAATTGTTCAGCTGTCATGTTTCGCAGTTCTGAGCCATGGACAACAGCGGCCTTGGCTGTAAGAGGGTCAACTTCATCAATAGAGAGGTTCAGTCTCAGGGCAATATCCTCAATAGTTTCATTACCTTCGGATATGATGCCTACAGACTTGGCAATTGCCTTGGCAGTGATTGGGTGATCACCTGTAACCATGATAATCTTTATTCCAGCTGATCGGCATTTTGCTACAGCGTCAGGTACAGCAGCTCGAGGAGGATCAATCATAGACATTAATCCTACAAAACGAAGGCCATGTACAGGGAAGTTTATAGACTCTGAATCGAAGGGATATCCAAGAGGATACTTATCAGCAGGCAACATATAGTCACAGAAACCAAGTACACGCTCTCCAAGACCTCCTAGTTCCAAGTAGGCATTGTTGAAGGACTCTTTTAGCTCTTCATCCAGAACCCTATCTTCATCATTAATATAAATAGTCGAGCAGCGTTCTAGGATCCTCTCAGGGGCCCCCTTCATGACTAGGAGGTAGCGGGGGTCACTTTTATCCTCGGTTTCATGTACAGATACTTGGTATTTATTTGTGGAATTGAATGGAACTTCGCATACTTTTTTGTTTCGTGCTCGCCAACCCATTACATCTCCAACAGAATGTTCAACACACTTAAGCAAAGCAGCTTCAGAAGCATCTCCGTTTACTTCACGCTTCAAGACAGGAACAGACTCTTGGTTAATTTGGAACTCGGCACGGTTGCAGAGTGCAGCTATTCTACACAATGCCATCCAGCCTTGAGATGCGGTCTTGCAAAGAGGAGCATCAGTATTGAATTCTGACGTTTCTGCTTCAATGATTTCATTATCAAACCACATGTGGGCCACTGTCATGCGGTTCTGGGTCAGGGTTCCAGTCTTATCCGAACAGATGGTGGAGGTGGACCCTAGAGTTTCAACAGCTTCCAAGTTGTTGACAAGACAGTTCTTCGCCGCCATTCTCTTGGCAGTGAGTGTCAGACACACAGTGACTGTGGGAAGCAGACCCTCAGGTACATTGGCTACAATTATACTAATGAGGAAAACAACAGCATCTAACCAGTGATAACCTGAAAAATATATATTCTAGTTAATTACGTAACAACTCCAGTTCTGTGTATAACATTTAAATTTTTTATTACAATTTTGAAGTTTTAAAGTCATATAATTAGTGAGAAACACTGAGATTAGCTTCAGCTATTGTTGCGGTAACTGCTAAGAGTAAAGTTTAATAACATATCAAACGTGAAACTGAGAAAATGTTGAATTTAGTACAAAATTGACATCAGTAATCATCGTTTGTTAAGAACAAAGTTTAATAAATGTTATCACAAAGAGTAAGCGAATGTTGAGAAAGTAAGGATGTTGTATTAATATTAAGACTACAGCTGGGAAAAGTTGAAAGTAAAATATAAGGAAGAATGGTGAGAGAGCGAGATCATAGCTGGAAAGGAATAGTAAGCGTGTTTACTAAACAACACGAAAGGTGTGTTTGGGATCGTGACGTCAGAAGAGCAGTTATTCAAAACTGTTGGAAAAATGAAACTACCAGGATGTCAAGCAACTTATACAAAATGTAAAATATGATGACTAATTTGATAAAATCTTACCCATCAATAAGGCAACCCCACAGAAGAGACCTCCCAGGAATACTGCTACAGCAGTGATGATGTTGATGAAATGGTCGATCTCTCTGCCAATGGGGGTGTCGCCAGAGTCCAGACCAGACGCCAGTCCAGCAATGCGACCTATAACTGTGTTGTCCCCGATGTTGATCACAATACCTTTGGCAGTACCTGTAAAAAGGCATTTTCAAAATTAATATTTACCATTATAAATAACGAAAAATAAGTTTATATTTAAAGATAACTAAGGATTGTTCTTACCTTCAACGGCATTGGTGGAGCAGAAAGCGAGGTTCTTGGTCTCCAGCGGGTTGTCTGATGAGAAATCAGGTGAACGGATTTGTGGCTCAGATTCTCCAGTTAGTGAGGAGTTGTCTACCTGTATGGTAAACATTACTACATATTAAAAAGCACAAGGTTACCTATCTTTCACTTAACCACGCACCTCAAACACTCAGTAGCCATACAATTATATTTCACTTGAAAGTACTAATATTACTTAACTAAGAGCATGAACAACACCCACCTTAAATCCTCTAGATTCAATAACACGGATATCAGCTGGAATTCGGTCACCGAATTTCACCTCTACAATGTCTCCTATGCAAATTGCATCAGCCTGCAAATTGTGCTTCTCACCTTCACGAATCACAATGGCACACTAAAGGAAGGAAAAATTGTTTACTGTATCAGTTTACCTGTATAAGTAAAAATTTTAATTTACTAAAATCATTTTTTTTAACTAAACACTCATATATGCCATTAAGTTTTAAAATATTTTATTAAGAATATGTTTTAATTACTTGATGTCCTTGTTCCGATCAACAAATGCTTTGTGAATTGTAAATAAGAGAGTCCTTGTTGTGTGATGTGTAAATGGCTGCGTCCTTGTTTTGTGACGTGTAAATGGCTGCGTTCTTGTTTTGTGACGTGTAAATGGCTGCGTCCTTGTTTTGTGACGTGTAAATGTCTGCGTCCTTGTTTTGTGACTTGTAAATGTCTGCGTCCTTGTTTTGTGAAGTGTAAATGTCTGCGCCCGTGTTTTGTGACGTGTAAATGTCTGCGCCCTTGTTTTGTGAAGTGTAAATGTCTGCGCCCTTGTTTTGTGACGTGTAAATGTCTGGGTCCTTGTTTTGTGACGTGTAAATGTCTGCGCCCTTGTTTTGTGACGTGTAAATAAAGAGTATCGTCAAAGAGATTGCTTCACGTAGAATAGCGAGTAATAACTGCACAACCACAACAAACATCAAAGCCACGGCGCGACTAGGCTTTTACCAGCGTGGCGCGTTTAGTTAGGACCCGAGGCTATCAGGGCGACACTTCACCTTTACCTGGTCAAACGTACCACTTATACCTGGCAGGTAGGATTTACTCTACACAATACCAATAAAGTATTTAATTAGTTGATTGGTAAGTCTAGAATAAGGAAAGAAAATGTTGTGGAGAGATGTCGAGGGATAAAGTTAATAGCCCGCTACATTAGCCCGCTATATATGTATAAAGATCTCACGACTTCCAACCCTTTTGTACAGTTAGCATGATCTAGTGGTATAGTACTGGATACGCTAAGAGGCTTGGAGCCTGGCTGTCTGGGTTCGAATCCTTCAGGGGGTGAGGAGTTTTTGGTTGTAAATCTAAATATGTATGCATGCATGGTATGCAATCCTTCTATACCATGCCTAGTGACAGAAGAAATATTATTTACGAATCAAAAAATAATTACCTGCGGGACCATTTTCTTAAAAGATTCCATGATGGCCGAAGACTTGGCCTCCTGGTAGTAGGAGAAGATGCCGCTCACAATCACCACACCCATCAGCGCTAATCCTAGATACAACTGGAAAATATTTCCCACACCAGGTTAATTAACGCCACAATCATAATACAAATGTGTTCAATTTTACCTGGTTTATAAAGTACAGTATACTGTATTCTTTCATAGAATGAAATGTAATAAATTTAAAACGAAAATTACAGTTAATACATCTATGTATTTTTTTCTAAATATTCGTCACAATAATTTGTTGTATGATATTAAATAATCACTTATTTTAATTTAAATGCAACAAAAGCAATAATTACATGAAAAACTAAATAAAAAATATTGCCCATTTAAGATCAGTTTGATAGAATGAGAAGTTGGATCATTGGTTAGGCAATATATTATGTTAAACAGGCTGAGCTATGGGTAGTTTCTTGAAGCATCCTGTAAGAAATAACAAATTAATTAAACTTAAACAATAGACTACAGTAACAAAACAGTCTTGATTTTAGATTATTTCCAAACATTTTAACCGAGACTGGGCTGAAATTAAATAAGTTCCCTCCCATGAGCTAACAGATCTTCGTTTCTTCTGCCACCTGTGGGAGAATATTTTGTTTTGAACAAGAACTTCGGCAGTGAAGAGGAAACCATTACTCCCAGTCTAGGAAGGATTCAAGAAGTGTAAATTTCCTCTTTGAACTGACAACCAGTGACTTTTGGGAAAATTCCAGTTGGAATGCAGTGAGAAACTACGCAAGAATACCATGACAACTAATAGGAGCATCTTCTCTAGGGGTAAAAAAAGGGCTTGGCTGGCCAACCATGTGTCAACCACCCAGTGTCTGTGACCCACTGGTGCTCTCGCACAGTCACTGTCAGTATATTGGTAACTGTATGTAGTCCCAGGGATGAGTGCTATCAGATACGAGGAAAGACTACAGGTATTAAATCTCACGTCACTGGAAGAAAGAACAGGGGAGACATGATTACCACATACAAAATACTCACGGGAACAGACATGGCAGACAAGGACAGATTATTTTGTAATGGCAGTACACAAATAAGGAGATACAGATGGAAATTAGGAACCCAAATGAGCCACAGAGACAGTAGACAGATTTTTTTTTGTATCAGAGAAACGAGCAATTGGAATGCGCTAAGAAGCGAAGCGGTAGAAGTAGTCTCCATACATAGATTTAAATGTAGATATGACAGAGCCTAATAGGCTCTGGAACCCTATACACCAGTCGATTAAGAGTTGAGAATCGGCGGGACTCAAAAACCTTGGCTAGCTCATAGCAAAATACAACTATGTGAGTACCACTATGCCACAGGGACTCATTTTGAGCAGCGGCGAGGCTCGACCTATATTGGGTGATATCAGCTGGCGTCCTTGGGTAGCCATCTCCACTGCTTTGCTCCCATGTTTATGACAGGTTGGATTGGGGTATAATAGCCGTGGCTTCGTAATTGTCGGTCAAATCGCGTCCCTTTTCGGTGGTCGAGATAGCAGCCCTCAAACTCCAGCTGATTTTCGAATTGTTGGCGCTCACTTTTCTTATTCCTGTCCTTCCTTTCGTATATCCACAACTCGAGATGGTTCTGGGTCCCATTAGTTCACTACACTATTTACCACTTTCGTGTTCTCCCGTTCATAATATTCCTGACTGTCAGAATGCTCACCAGGCCTCTTTTCATCGCCAAGGAGCTTTGCGACTTGGGCGTCGTTATTTAGCCTCCAAGTTGTCTTTTTCTTTTTGGCTTGTGATCCAACGCTGAGATTGTTAGGATGGTTCAGGTTTGTTATTTAAGTCGCAAAGTCCCTTTCCTCTCTGAAATGCATCCAGTGGTTGGATTTGGTTTGGGGTTCTAAGTCAGTGTCCCTCTTCCTTCCGGATTATACCTTTGACAAGGTTGCCTCCCATTTGCAGTGGATTAAGTGAAGATGGTGACTGTCTCGTCAGATTATTGAGTGCTCTTGAGTCACTTTAACTTTGTGTGTAACGTGATCAATGGGTCAGCTTTGTCTTGGAATCTATGGTCGGAATTTTGTCGATGGATTTGAGATAGCTTAGTGTGCACTCCTTGTGTTCTCTAAAATCTCTTGCTATGCAGGCTTCCTCTATTGGTTTTTGATGTATAAATCTCAGTGTTTAAGTGCACTCTAATGTACAGAAGACAGCAATCTGGCTGATACTTCAGCTTCCGCCTATTTTAAGGCTCGACTCCAGCGCACTCTCACCCATCGAGGTCAGGAGGATCTTGTCTTACCAGTCCACTGTGTTGTTGCCTAAGTAAAATACATTTAATGTGGCATGAAAGTTTCGTTATTACATGCATACAAGCACACAGTCCAAAGTTAAATATATAAATTTATGGAAAATATAAATTTATTCTTGTTTACCAAGAGGACACGTGCACGCACTCATAGCCTAGCAGTGATTTACAAACGCTTACATTATCATTGTTGGGTTCTTCAGATGACGAAGCCTCAATGGAGTAACCAATGAAGCAGAGGATGGCGCCCATCCACAGGAGGAGTGCAAAACCAAAAAAGAGGTGATGGCAAAATTTAATCCACTCAGGAGTCTGCTGGAGTGGAGTCAGTGTATTTGGACCATCTCGTTCTGTGCGCCGGCGAGCCTCTGCTTTTGATAGACCCTGGAAAAATACGTATATACTTAAATATAATTTCTACTCATAAATGATCTACCGTCTAATAATTTCGCATTCTGGCTTAGCTTGGACGTGAAGAAGTCAACATTTGCTGCACCAAGGAAGAGATGTGACAAACCATGGGCTGAAGAATTGAATTATAGAAAAATACAACACATTGGAAAAACAACGATTAATATATGGTAATTGGGGGACATAGATTAATAAATGGTAATTGGGAGACTTCTTAATATTGTTGCAAGTTACTGAATATTAATATTATAATTGTGAATTCTGCCGAATTTGTTGTTAAGGCAGTGTCTGGGATCATCTCGGACGTAGGTTCGAATCCTCGTCACGGCCCTTGTGGATTTGTTCATTGATGTATCATGCTATTGTGATTTCTGTGTGTAAGGGAGCTTAGGAATATATATTAACCTGGAATTGGAAACGATATATAATTATTTATGGTAGAATAAGGAAGGACCTTGACCCAAATTGTACTGCAGGCTATCAACAAATCACTAGATACTTACCCTGTCAGGGTTCACATTAAGTCGCTGGCAGAGTTCCTCAATGGGGATCTTGTGCTCATCAAGTTCCAACTCCTGCTTCAGATTATCCATATCCTTCTCCCCCTTCTTTGGCTTTGACATTTTCTTCTTAGTCTGTAAGATATAAAGATATTAAGAACTGTAAAGGTAAAGATATTAAGAACTGAAAAAACAACCTGACAGATGTCTCAGCGTGACAATGTAGTGTGTGTGCCAAAGTTGACACGCTAATTGTAAGTGACTCCTTGTCATCCTTGCCTGCCCTCAGCTCCCCATGGCATAACTGTGACGTGCTTATCTCTGAAGCTAGACACAGATATAATGAAATAATCAATGATGGCGTGAAAATCAGTCTCCTGTGAATTCCTTCCCATATTGGTCTCCGAATGCATGATAGAACTGATGAGTTGGCCAAGACTTTTGCTCGTAAAGAGGGAATTGATTACCAACTTGGACCGCCTTTGAGCAGCTTGAGGGCAGTAATATTCCGGGAACATCAACTAAATTTCGGAGACTTGAGGCAAAGTGAAATTCACACCAGTTCCTCCATCTATCATCATTCTATTATGCAGGAAGTACCGCACATCTATGGGTCATCCAATAAGGTTAGCAGACTTCTAGATGTTACCACTGCTAGGCTTAGGCTCGGCTATAAGTACCTCTGGGAGTTTGTAACATCTGCTGATGTAGATTTGACTAAATGTAAACTCTGTCAACAGAACTATTCGCATAATTTGCGTCATTATATACTGGAATGTGAAAAAATCGCCGAATTCAGAGATAACACCATCAATGGTGTCCATGAAATGTGTAAGTACTTCATTCATAATGATGTGCTGCCCGAAATCTTAGCAAAGCATCCAAAATTTGGTTACTGTAGGTAATGCATGAACATGACTGTAAAGCTGCCGCCCAGTTGGGTGGGTGTATAGCAAGACTAGTAACTATGTGATTCACCATAAATGTAAAGTGCCTTGTATAGTGACTGTTGTGAGCCTCTTGTTGAATCACTTGTGATACAAAAGATTATTGACGTGTGTATTTCTATAGGTGATTGAATATGTATGTGTATGTATATGTATATATATGTACATGAATGTATGAGTATGTGTACATGTATACATAACATTAATAATTGTGTAACTAGTGTCAAAAGATTGTTATTTGCTTAGCGAAACGAACCAGAGGGTTCAGTTTCTGAACCGATTATGTGCCTCTGTAATCCTTTACACCACTGCCCATGGGATGGGGTATGGGGTGCATAATAAAGAAATTGAACAATTTTTTTATTAGTGTGCACCTCTACTTTTATAACTTAAGTTTCATATTGCTTAGCTTTTCACCTTTTAATTCAAGTCGTGTACTGCACACCCGACAGTGGAACCGGTTATAACAAACGTCCATAGTTGTACAATCTAATAATAATGCTAAGGTTAAATAACGCTTATATATATTCACATTTTGGATAAATACAGTAATTATGGAAGGTGTTATTCAACATCTTTTTATCACCAACAATATTGTCGTAATATGTTGATTGTTTATGAATATATATATATTGAATCAGCATTATGTGTCACTAGCCTCACAACTATTGAGTCACCATTACGTGTCACTAGCCTCACAACTATTGAGTCACCATTAAGTGTCACTAGCCTCACAGCTACTGAGTCAGCACTATGTGTCACTAGCCTCACAGCTACTGAGTCACCATTAAGTGTCACTAGCCTCACAGCTACTGAGTCAGCACTATGTGTCACTAGCCTCACAGCTACTGAGTCAGCACTAAGTGTCACTAGCCTCACAGCTACTGAGTCACCATTAAGTGTCACTAGCCTCACAGCTACTGAGTCAGCACTATGTGTCACTAGCCTCACAGCTACTGAGGCAGCACTAAGTGTCACTAGCCTCACAGCTACTGAGTCAGCACTATGTGTCACTAGCCTCACAGCTACTGAGTCAGCACTATGTGTCACTAGCCTCACAGCTATTGAGTCAGCACTATGTGTCACTAGCCTCACAGCTACTGAGTCAGCACTATGTGTCACTAGCCTCACAGCTACTGAGTCAGCACTATGTGTCACTAGCCTCACAGCTACTGAGGCAGCACTATGTGTCACTAGCCTCACAGCTACTGAGTCAGCACTATGTGTCACTAGCCTCACAGCTACTGAGGCAGCACTATGTGTCACTAGCCTCACAGCTACTGAGTCACCATTAAGTGTCACTAGCCTCACAGCTACTGAGTCAGCACTATGTGTCACTAGCCTCACAACTATTGAGTCACCATTATGTGTCACTAGCCTCACAACTATTGAGTCACCATTATGTGTCACTATGTAACAAACTAGGCTGTTGTAAGAATTATCCAGAGTGGTTTATCGACAAAAGAGAAGGGGAAGCTGAGCCCGCGTGGTGACCTGGGAACCTGACCCCCAGGGGGAATTCGCGGTGGAAATAACCGACGCTTTGTTCATAAGCTGCGTATAATGAATCATCCTATAGTATTCAGTAATTTAGAGAAAGTAGCCTTTATTTCATTTTGTATTAAAATTGTATTGTATAATAGTACTGGGTACAACATCAAGAGTATTCTAATTATTGAGTTTAAGTCACCATCAGTGACGTCACGAATCAGATCTAACTTGTAAGGCGGAGTGACCGGCGGTCATAGGTCAGCAGGGTTGACAGGTCTACTATTTCTCAAAGTTCAATTATCCATTTTTGGGGGATCGGGAACAGCTTTGCCGTTAGATGTTTGTGTAATCTAATTTCAGTAAAATAATTCAACCAATCTGGATCAATTCAGTACAAACAGAGGTTAATTGTTATAACTTAAACCTTGCTAGTAACTTGGTGAAACTTTGACTAGGCGGAAGGATACAATGTTCTAGTCTGGGCTAGGCCAGACGAGGACAAATCAGTGTGGAAAAGGGAGCAGCTGGGAGAGGTCAAACATCTTACCTCTCCCCGAGACCAGCCCAACATCTTTAGCTGGTAAAACATAGAGGTATAGTTGCTATGGTTATGTATAGAATAGACTCATTTGCCATTCAGGTCAAGTAGGGAGTGTTAAAGTGACAGGGAGTGAACATATTTAGATTTTGTTTTAGTTTTTCTTTTAATAAATTAATTAGTTATTAAATTGCATTTTTATTATTTCCATGTGTTTTATGTGTACACTTGTCCTGGTCACGTGGTCCACACGAAGCAGAGTTGGATTGGGCGCCGATTCTAACATCGAATCGGAATTATCATTACCGTGTAATTTATTCCACACTCAAGGTCATCGTTTATAGTGGGGATCAAGCCCCAAGGTTGATTAATTAGCGTGATCGATCCAGACCTCGATCATTGCTTGTGTTACTGGTCTGGTGGTGGCAGCGTAGAGGCGACTCTAGGGTTTTGCTCAAGGCCTAGGTCACGCCATACTGGTTGTAGAATCCTAAGTCGGTCAATCGTCTTAGGACCACGTGGTGTGGAGTCGGCTTTGGTAAAAGTTTTGGAGTCCCTTGGTAGAGAATAAAAAGTAAGAATACGGGTAGAGGGAGTAGAAGGAAAGATAAGTAGAGAGAGGAACCCCTAACCCGTGTTACAACTAGCCTCACAACTATTGAGTCACCATTAAGTGTCACTAGCCTCACAGCTACTGAGTCAGCACTATGTGTCACTAGCCTCACAACTATTGAGTCACCATTATGTGTCACTAGCCTCACAACTATTGAGTCACCATTATGTGTCACTAGCCTCACAGCTACTGAGTCAGCACTATGTGTCACTAGCCTCACAGCTACTGAGTCACCATTAAGTGTCACTAGCCTCACAGCTACTGAGTCAGCACTATGTGTCACTAGCCTCACAACTATTGAGTCACCATTATGTGTCACTAGCCTCACAACTATTGAGTCACCATTATGTGTCACTAGCCTCACAACTATTGAGTCACCATTAAGTGTCACTAGCCTCACAGCTACTGAGTCAGCACTATGTGTCACTAGCCTCACAGCTACTGAGTCAGCACTATGTGTCACTAGCCTCACAGCTATTGAGTCAGCACTATGTGTCACTAGCCTCACAGCTACTGAGTCAGCACTATGTGTCACTAGCCTCACAGCTACTGAGTCAGCACTATGTGTCACTAGCCTCACAGCTACTGAGGCAGCACTATGTGTCACTAGCCTCACAGCTACTGAGGCAGCACTATGTGTCACTAGCCTCACAGCTACTGAGGCAGCACTATGTGTCACTAGCCTCACAGCTACTGAGGCAGCACTATGTGTCACTAGCCTCACAGCTACTGAGTCAGTTATGTCAATGTTATGTTTGAAGATACCTTTTATTTCTGCTGATATTCGTTATTAAAAATAGTTGTTTACATATGTGCTTCAAAATATTTATAATATTATTTCAACAAATCTTTGATATTGATAAAAATTCGTTCAGCAAATATCCATATATATTTTGGCTTGCAAATTTTTTAAATTGCGTTTTAAGAGCAGAATTGCGCTGCTATCTTGAGATACCTGCTATTAAATCAATTCCTATTGACGTATATATTTTTATGAAAACGAGTTGGTGATTAATTTAAGTTTGTTGAACAATATTCACAATCTTCATACACATTGCTCTAGATTTGTTTTCACTTTACATAGTATGAGCAAATTAAATCATTGTTCTTGCAAAACGATTTAGCCTATTGAAACCAAAGATAATTTTCACCTAATGATGTAAACTTGTTGAAAGCTCTAAAAATGATCATAAATTGCAGTAACATATTGATGTTACACTTGTAATTTAATATTTAATGAGCATAACTGAAAATTTAAATGTCAGTAAAAGTAAATCTTAGTAACTTGAGAATGATTTTATCATAATTCACTGTGTCGGGGGACAGGCAGCCAGAGTGTATTCATATACGTTAGGCTTTTATCGAGTATATATTCCGCTGGGAGGGAGGCGGGAGCATAGCTGATCACTACGTGCTTGCCATGTCGACGTGGGTGACAGCTGAGCACAGAACAAATACACCCATCTGCCCAGTGGCCAAAATATTCAAGAATAGCGTTAATTCAACGTTTAATCAATGCTATTCACTGTGATTCAACGTTATCAACGTGGAATTAACGTTACTCATAGATATTGTACCCACTGGGTGACAGCTGGTGTAGGACCCAGAGGGAACACAAACTACCGAACTAGTGTAGGGCCCACAGGGAAGTACCAACTACCCAGCTGGTGTAGAGCCCACAGGGTAGTAACAACTACCCAGCTGGCGTAGAACCCACAGGAAAGTACCAATTACTCAGCTGGTGTAAAGCTCACAGGGAAGTACCAACTACCCAGCTGGTGTAGAGCCCACAGGGAAGTAACAACTACCCAGCTGGTGTAGAACCGCGAAGGAGGTACCAACCACTTCTGGTAACTTACTACCGGCAAGAAGGCAAGTAATTATCAGGAGAAAGCACTAAGCCATTACGATTATATAGCACTTGGAAAGGATGGGAATAAGACGGAGGACAGGAATGGTGCCCAACTACTTGGAAGGTTGGGGGATTGAACGCCGACCAACAAGAAGCGAGACCGTCGCTCTACCGTCGAGTCGAAGTGGTTGGGAAAAACGGAACGACGCAGACTGCTGAGGGATACTTACATCGGCCATGGCTGCTGGAATGAGGGCGTGGGGTCAGCAGAAGGACGGCAGCAGAGGATACACAGTATCCACGAACGGTGTACGAGTTGGATCTCCACCAGCACCAACAACCACTATGTACAAGCCACTAGGCTACCTTCACTTTGTACACTTTCTTCAATCTTGTGCCCTCTTGGACTTGTTAAGGGTTTCACTGCAAGCACATTCTTCACCGTGTATGAAGGGTTTGTTGGTGGACCCTAAAGGGCACAGCGACACGTCCGTTCTCAACGAAGCGCGCCCTGCGACAGCTTCAACCAGCCGGAGTTACAAGCCAAGAAACGTGATTGGAAAGTCCCCGCACAATACTACTCAAAAGTCGGGTATCCTTCTCCCCCCTCCTCCTCCCCAACAGATGCCGGCTACCATCATAGTGTCATCTGTTGTCGGACTGCGTAATCTTTTGGAGTCTGGGGTTGACGGGGGTATTCAGTGAGTAGTATTTATTTCTTTACTAATCTTTAGTAGATTATTATTATAATTATAATGGAGTTGACGGGGGATATTCAGTGAATACTATTTCTTTCTTTACTAATTTCCAATTGATTATTGATTTTTAGTTTTGGTAAAATTAGATTTTTCACATAATAACTCCAGTAATTGTCTCTACGAATGGACTTATCATACTACAAATACATTTCTCAAGTTAAATTAGTCTAAAATTATATATTCAACGAGGTCAGTCATTTATGCAGAAGTAATTAATAATATTTTCATAAGTAAAATACCTAAAAATAAAATATAAACAGAGAAATATATATGTGATGATAATTTTGACGGTGATGGAAAGTTCATGAAGTTTCTCCATGAACTTTATTGGCGATTATCAATAATAATAATACGAATAATAATAATAATAATAATAATAATAATAATAATAATAATAATAATAACAATAATAATAATAATAATGAGAAAATCCGTAGGAGCCGTGAAGGAGTGTTCGAATCTATGCAGTGGGTACTCCCATGCACACGCTCTTAGCAACTTTCAGCAGAAGGGAAGGGAATTATGGGGGTGGGGGGAAAGCTCCAAGCTATTACGACTATATAGCACTTGGAAGGGGCCAGGATAAGGATTTGGGATGGGACGGGGAAAAGGAATGGTGCCCAACCATTTGGATAGTCAGGGATTAGTCGCCGATCTGCATGAAGCGAGACCGTCGTTCTTCCGTCCTGTTCAAGTAGCCTCAGAAAATCCTTGTGTGTTCAGTAGAGCTCCAGGTTGAAAGCCTTGTTACCATGTCGTGGTCTAGTCGCTAGGGCGGTGCGTGGGAACACCCAGCGCATATGTTCGAACCCTCATCACGGCTCTTACTGAGTTTCTCATTGATGCAGTAGTAATTATAACTAAATAGTAATAATAACTAAATCGTTAAAATAATATTAATAACCAAAAATAGCTACTAGTAATAATAATAATTGTCAATAATAATAATGAAAAGTTTTAATAAACGTTCACACATTTACAATTACGATAATGTACGATCCACCAGTTAGTGGATGTAAGTGAAAAAGAGCATTATACTAATAATAATGATAGTAATAATAAAATTAGTTTTGCAGGCGATGAGTCACAATAACGTGGCTGAAGAATGTTGATCAGACCACACTAGAAACATCGTCGTCCCTTCACCTTCTAGTGTGTGGTCTGGTCAACAAAATTAGTTTTCTCTGAAAAAATGTACCTGCAGTGTCAACTAACTGTGTGCTCGACCAAATATAGTCTAATTATGATTAGTCCACACACTAATTAATAGAGATAATTTGGTAGGAGTCCCCTGATTGGGTAGATTTGATAGACAGGAAACATAGTGGGAAAATGTCGGTGGAGACGTGTGGTAAGTGGAGTCCCTCAAGCTCGGTCCTTCGATCCATGTAGTTCATAATGTATATGAATGACTTACCAAACAAAGTAAGCTGATACATATCAATGTTTACAGATGATGTAAAGCTTGTTGACTATAACACGATGACTCAAACTGATCGATTAGGAAGACAAATTGCCACTTAAGAGTTCAATTATAATAAATGTAATGAGGCTGAAAAGAAGAGGAAGGAGACCAGAATTCACTTACAACATAAGAGTGGGATTGCATGCGTCTGGTGGATCAATTGTCAACTGGAGGCCTATTCAGAGACGAGACCTCAGGGACATTGATACTGGGAAACACGTCCAGGTAGCCTGACCCAGAATTTTGCACCAAGACTGTAATATTTTGTTGAATTATCCGTATAACTAGGACATAAAAGTATTTGTGTACGTCTGATACCATACCACTTGTGAAGGAGGAAATGTACATGTTTATCTCTCAGAATGTTTGGTAACAGGTTTATTGTTTGTGATGTGTGTCTATGTATGTACTAACACGTTGTACTGAACGGGGTGAGAATAGCTTGAGCTACCTCATCCCTTTGTGTGTATTTTACCTCAATAAACTTATTTCAATTTCAATTTCAATTTCAATAACACCGGGGGCGCGTGTAAACAATCTTGGCAGCATACACAAAAGTGGCATATACAGGGGACAGAGTCATAAAGTCAGTCAAAAAAAAAAAAACTGCCGGGTGAATGTGAGAAAATAAACAATAGTGTTGCAGACAGATGGCTTAGCGCTCTGCAGAACGAGGCTACAGAAAGCATAAATTTGATCTAAGTAAATATGATTATTATATAAAGACGGAACGTCAAGAGCTAACTGTATGCTATAAAGCCATAGGGAGGTCATTATACACGCCTCACACAGTTCCCATCCTCCCTAAGATATTAGCATATCGTCCACTGGTGAGGCTTACATCTTGCAATACCCGCCCATTCTCACCATGGGACAAGCATACAAAGTGTAAATTAAATGTTCTACATGACTCATCCCATCTAACCTAACGATGCCGATTCTCATTAGTCCGGGAAAGTGTATACATTAGTATTTCCAATGTGTTTATAATTCACAAAAGCATTAAACTTGTCTGCCTGTATCTGTAGCGTACAAATATGATGCAATTAATTTGGTCAAGTTGCTCAATACACCATCCCACACCAGCCACATATACCAGTTATCATCTCAATGTTCTGGTCCACCCCACACCAGTTACAGTAAGTACCATTACACAACACCCACCATCTTCAATCCATCCTCTCTCCACTGCCGTTATCCCTCACTTCCAAATCAATTCCTCCCTCTCTCTCACTCCGGACCCTCTCCCCCCTCCACTCTTCAAAGGTACCCGCCCCGCAATGTACCGCAATCCACAAATCTTCTCAACTGTTGGTATTATTACAGCTATACTACTACTACTATAGTATTGTTACTACCATTACAGCTAATACTATTACTAGTGCTGTTGTTACTACTACTACTAGTACTGTTGTTACTACTACTAGTACTGCTACAACTAGTACAGCTAATTCCTGCTTCTACTGGTACAACTAATTCTTGCTTCTACTAGTACTGTTGCTACTACAACTAGTGGAGTTGCTACTACTATTAATGTTGCTGCACCTACAACTAGTGATGACATTACTAGCACTGCTACTACTACTAGCGTTGCTACTGCTATCATTAGTGCTACTACTACTACTACTACCACTAATGATGCTAGTACTAGTACTGCTTCTAATACTATTAGTGCTGCTACTATAGTAATTCTTCCATTTCTACTAGTATTGAAATAAATGATTACAGTAGGCTTAATTATATTATTTATTATTGGTTTAGATGCTCTCCTAATTATCCTCCAAACGTTATACTTTGCAGATTATATTTATTTATTATTTAAAATACGAATACAAGATATTCGTATTTTGTCGGTCGAATAAAAGGCTCCGTTGTAATAGCCTAAAAAACGTATGCGACACACAAGACTTAGTAATAATAGATATTAATTTACTTTCTTGCCAGGTTTCCACTCGCTAATATACTAGGCCGAATAGATGCCACTGAAACTATCCAACCTGTAGTGGTGTTGGGCTTCAAGCCTAGTAAAATGTGGAGGGTTATTAATTATTGCCGGACAAGTGCTTACTGATCGACGAGCAAGAATACTTTAGCAATGAACATGTCCAGGACTAGAGTATATTTTCAATGTATATACACCGATAAGGTGGGTACACCTCTGTAATTTTGTAATTCTTCTGTAATTTTTCCTTAGGTCCGTTTGTATCGGAATTTCTTTTGCAATGAAATGTCAATTTTTTATGTTAAATTATATTTGAAAAAATTATTTGACCTGTATTGAATCGTATATTTATTTAAATTATAATAAATATTTGTATAATTTTATAAATATATATTTCTTAATTGTGTGTATATCACGAAAATAAACACGTGATTAAAAATGTGACAGTGTCAGACAACGGAGGAAAATTGAAAAATTGAAAAACTGAAAATTGACTCCTTCTGAAGGTGTATTAATATACGAAAGTACTTAAGGAAATTCCTGTTTCAATTTTCCTCCGTGGTCTGACACTGTCATATTTCTTAATTATTTACAGTGTTACATTTAACAAAAAATACATAAATATATTTAACTTTTCGTTGTGTTTTTTAAAGGAACCATTTACCCGGCGCGGCGCCCCGAGCCGCAGTGTCAACTACCATGTGTTGGGGCGCGTCTGGCCCCTCGATCGTCCTCGCCCCTTAACCACCAACAACAACAACTCCCATTGGTCACAACCCGTGTTGACATTCGCCAGTCTCTACCTGGCATCCACTTGCCAACTGGCAGACCAGTAGACCAAACGTGACCCCTGACTATCCTTCCAAACAATTAGATTGGTGGAAAATGTTGTTGTTGTTTCAGATTTAGCTACTCAGAACAAAGTGTAGCACGGACTATGGCGAGCCCGTAATTGGTGGAGAAAATTTCCGCCTGTTTTATCCTCTGGATGCGAACCAAAAGTTAAAAATGCAGCTTTGCTTCACCACACTCCTTGTACGTCGGCTCTACGAGACACCTTCGCTGGAATTTGGCTGCTTTTATCATCATGCCCTTATCGTCATCCTTTCCATTTACTCCTTTCTCCTACGTGGTGTCAAGTACTGTGGCAGTGAACAAGGGGGATGGCCACGACGCGAGCGAGGGCATCGCCACAGGTGAGTGCAGGACCTTGCGTGCGTGTGTGTGCGTGTATGCGTGCGTGTTCCCTACCGCCAGGGAACATGGGTTTGTTCAGCTTGTTGAGTGAGCGAGGCGACGGACGTTCTGTTGCCACCCAGGTGTTCACTCCCTTGTCTACGTCACTGGATCCAGACTAGGCTAGCTACACCTCAATATATATATGTCGTAACTAGTAGCCAGAGCTCACTTTTCGGCCTACTATGCAAGGCCCGATTTGCCTATTAGGCCGAGTGAGTTTCTTTATTTTTTATATTTTTTTCCAATTGGTTAATATGAAATATTATTATTATATTATATTAAGAACATAAATTATTGACTTAGTTATGTTAGTTTAGGTTAGGTTAGGTTAGGTAGGGTTGGTTAGGTTCGGTCAAATATCTGTTAGTTTTAACTTAAATTAAAAAAAATAAACTCATTCATAATGAAATAGATAGCTTTATCATTCCATAAGAAAAAACATAGAAAAATATATAAATTCAGGAAACTTGACTTATTAGGCATATTGGGACTTGCATAGTAGGCCGAGTACTGCATTCTGGCTACTAGATACAATATATATATATATATATATATATATATATATATATATATATATATATATATATATATATATATATATATATTTATTTATTTATTTATTAATTATGGCTGCAATGTGTGGCCTCCCTTAAACTGTCCTGTTTCAGAAGGCTGTAATAATCAGTTGCAAAATTTAGTTTGGAGTGTGGTATTTGTCTCACAGTTTTCTAATCGATAAGAAAAATGCTATGGAGCTTGACAAAACTATTTTTAGATATATACAGTATATGGTACGGTAGATAACGACCAATTAAACGGACAGCATTATGTAAAGGTAAGAAAGACGGTGGAATAGGGATAGTGAAGGTGTACCATAAGTCATTGGATATATTATGTGTTACATTTAGAAAGGAAATAATGCAAAGGAATAGTGTTAATGCTTTAGGGCATTATTTTTGTAAAATTCGTGTTAGCTACTTGATACATATGCCAGAGTATACTGACCTTGCCTGTATTTCACCTCACTTTTATTCTTGTGCAATTGATGTTCTCAGGGGGATTTGTAATGTTGAAGGTTTTTTTAATGAACAGTAAACACATGTATGATGTTCTGCTCCCTCATCCACTTCCTAGAGTGGAGGAGGCATATCCACATTTTAACTGGCGAGTAATATGGGCGAACCTTCATGTTAAATTTATTGCCCCAAAACAACGTGAACTATTGTATGGCTGTTATTTGTGTCCACTTTGAGACTGCGGGATGTCTACCATTGCAACGCTATATTCATGAGACCATCCCTACAAATGATAGGCTGTTGATGTTGGGCATTAAGGACAACAATAGGTGTGACCTATTGTTGATGTACAGAAATTGAGAATAATATGCATATATTTTCTTTCTGTAAGCAGAAAGTTGTTCTTGTAAACTGGATTACAGACACTCTTAAAGCTTTATGTGGACCAAGCATTAGAGTGGATTTAATGAGGTTTTTAATGTTTCATATTGATATAAAATGCAAGAAAATTAAGGATACAATAATTATGCTACTTTCTGATTAAATATTTTGTGTGTGGATAGGCAGGTAGGAGGGTTACTCAGTAGAGAAAGTATTGACGTTTCTTGTGAGGCAGGATCATTTTATTACATTTGGGGTTTACAACTCATGCTCTGTGATGATATGAAAAATTGGTTTACTGAAAATTATATGAACTGTATATAAATGTAGTATTTTCCCCTTGTAAATTGATGTAAATATGATCTTTATATTGTATATTATATAATGTAGAAAAAAATCTGTAGTCTGTTCTGTAACAGTCATCAAGCAATTCTGAATATGTTTTTGTTGCAGTTGATTTTTAAGTATTTTGGTGAATTGCTTAGAGTGAAGGCCACACTCCTGGTGTGTGGCTTAGAGTGAGGAGTCAAGATGTGTGACTTAGAGTGAGGAGTCATGATATGCGGCTTAAAGTGAGGAGTTATACTTATGGAGTGTGGCTTATGGTGAGGAGTCATACTCCTGGTATGTGGTTTAGAGTAAGGAGTCATACTCCTTAGTTGTGACTTAGAGTCATTCTCATGATATGTGGCTCTGATTAAATAGTTATGCCACTGGTGTATTGCAGGGAATGATGAATCACACTTCTGAGGTGGGTCTAGTGAGTGAAATGACATACCCCTGGGTGAGGGTCGAGAGAACAGACATTCTTCTGGGGGAAGGGTCGTTAGAGAACAGTCGTACCCACTGGGGGAAGGGGTCCGAGTGGGTGTTTACATACCCCTGGGGAAGGGTGGAGTGGGTGAAGAGACATACCCCCGAATTATATGAATTTTTGTTGACTCTTTCTTTGGTACTTGTTAGACTTTAATTTTGTTATTGTTAGATTAACTGAAAATATTAACATAAGGATAGTTGTTATTGAAAATGGCCAACGTAAATTGAGAAGTTTCGGTGTGTTGATCCGGATAAAGTTATTTATTATGATTTTAGCCAAAGAGAAAATCGATTTCTTATGCTTTCGTTTAGATTTTAGGCTGCTTTAAACATGGGTTTTGAAAGCCTATGCATAGATTTATTAAATGTGATAGGTATGTTTTGAAAACTTTTGTTTATCATAAGATATCAGCTATTGCTAGGAATTCTTAAAAAATGATTGTAAAATACTGTTACCTTGGTTTAATGAGAGATTAATACTTGTTTATTAAAAATAATTTTGTTTAAATTTATATCAATAAATATTCTTGAACAAATCAATTGGAGCAGTAACTCGAGTAACTCCAAGCTGCGCACCTTACCCCTGTACCACGACATGAAAAAATTTTTACAACCTGGGATTCCACTGAATCCACAGGTAGTCTGGAGGCTTCTACTGAAGCCAGTCCAAGTTTTACATATCGTCCCCAAACACTGGTGTAGATACAGTAGTTCATCTACTGTACGTTCTAGCTTCAGGTCTGCAGCCTAGCTTCGCTGGGCGGCCCACTACCTGAACAGATGGTTAAAAAAATCTATGAACTGTATGTTTGACAAATCTCTCACCCTGTCCATGGAGGACAAAAGAAAAAGTATATATGTTGGTTAGCATTGTAAATGTGTGGCCACGTCTGTGGTAGAAAATACTACTAATAAAAAACCCTGAACGGGTCATCTGCTCATACGCCTGCGTTGACTCGGTTACCGCCTTGTAACACTCAACTTTGTGACTCATCCTTTGTGATTCATCACTTTGTGACTCATCACTTTGTGACTCATCACTTTGTGACACAACACCTATTGACACATTCCCTTGTAACACATCCCGTGTAATATTACGTTGTGACACATCGCCTTTTGACCATAACCTTGTGATACATCACTTTGAGACACACCACCTTTTGATAAATCATCTTGTAACACAGTAATTGCCTGAATTTACATGAGGGCCACTAACACTACTGGCCTCGACGAAGACAGGAAGCCGGCGGCATGTCAAATGTCCCTTCAACTTTCAGTGAATGATGGATTCTGACTTCAAAGTCCTTTTCTTCATCAATTTGCTGCAAGGTAATGTTAATTTGGTAGTTGTGACGTGGGTTATTATGCCATATATGCTAGGTCTTGCATTTTTCGATATTAAAAAGCTTTTGCCAGTCCTCTGACCATTTGTGGTGTTCATGCAGATCTTTTTGTAAGGTCACAATACCATTTTCACTTCCCATTTTTATCATGAATCTTAGTGTCATCGGCAAATTTGATGATGTGGTTTGTAATATTCTCATTTATGTCATCGTTGTATATAACAAAAAGGTTTGCCTCAAATTGAACCCTTGCGGTACGCCACTCGTCACATTTCTCCAGTCAGATTCATTCCCGTTTAGCACTACCCTTTGTTTGCTTTGTTTTAATAATTGTTTTATCCATTCTAGTATTCTACCATTTATTTTAATATGCCTATAATTTCCTTTGCTAGTCTTTCATGACGTACCTCATCAAAAACTCTAGGAAAGTTCATGTATACTACATCTACCGGAACTTTGTCGGAATAGCTGGCTATTGTTTCCAAAAATGTGAGCAGGTTTGTAAGACAGAATCTGTTTTTAACAAACCTATGTTGCGTTGGTTTTACAAGATTGTTTGGTGTGTGTTGATAAATGATTCCCTCCCTTTGGATTATTGTCAAGCTGATCGGACGGTAGTTTTCTGCTGATCTCTTTCTGTCGTTAATAAAAATAGGGGAGACATTTGCAAATTTCCAATCTAGAAGAACTACTTTTTGGTCAAGAGATTTTCTGAAAAGAAGTTTCGGCTTTTTTTTTCCATTATGTATTTGGATTAAATTCCATTCGCACCTGGGTCTTTTGAATCTTAGTTTGTCAGTGTCCTTCCTGATTGTGTCGCACGTTATGGGTATATCTCTTAATTTGTTTTCTTCACTTTTTTTTAAACATACGTATGGGTAATGGAATGTCGTCTACTCTTTTTAGTGTGAACACTGATGTATAGTATTCATTCTGTGTTTTATACCCTTTTTATCGTCCATTATAACTTAGTCACATCTTTGAAGGATCCTAGCATGTTCTTTGTTTTGATTTTACTTACATAAGCATAACTATTTTGGATCTTTCTCAATGCGTTGGGCAAGTTTTCTTTCGTAGTTTCTTTTAGCTGATCTGATTTCCCAGGTGGGTGAATTTAATGCTTTTTTATATATCGCATAATCTATTATGTTAATAGTGGATTTATATCTTCTCCAGAGGTTCCGCTGAGTTATTAAAGCTGTTGTTACTAATGTGTCAGCCATCTCGTTCCCTTTCTTTTCTTTCTACTTTTTGGCGCATATTTTTGATCGAGATCAGTGATGACCTTGAAATTTTCCCATAATGCTTCCATGCCATGGTCAATTGTCAGCTCCCTCCAGGTGTTTTCCAATTCCTCTCTCATTCCTTGATAGTCTTTTCGATGGGTAATCTAGAAAGTCAATATCATGGACATTTACAAGGGTTTCTATAATTGTAATTCATTTTAGAATATTGTGATCACACGAAGTGGGGTGAGCTTTTCCCCTACCTGAATTTGATAAATCATGCTCTCTTCTGATGTTAGCACAAGAAATTGTTCTCCTTTTGCTTGTGATGTTAGATTTACCCTATCTATTATCTATTTACCCTATCTATATTATACATCGTTTAAATCTAAATCTAAATGGATACACGGTTTAAAATAAAATTATACATCGTTTAAATCTGTTGTGTGATTACAAATCGTACAACAAACTTTTCTGACGGGTCACTGCGATCCTAAAATTGGGTGGCTTGAACAAAGGGTGACCGTCCACTTTTTTTTGGGTGCCTTTGAGCGGGGACGAAGTACGTGCTGTCGCTCTGGCCGCCGCTGGGCCCTTTGGTTGTGCGCTGGACTGTGCGGCAGTGATGTACGTGCAGGGTAGGGTACGCCTACATAGGTAGGGTTGAATAGGTAGATTGAACTGGTCAGAACAATGGAACGCGACACTAGAAAGTTAAATTATACTAATACAAAAAAATATAATAAAAATGTTATAATAATAATAATAATACAAATTTTATAATAATAAAAATAATAAAAATTTTAATAATAAAAATATTAATACAAATTTTAATAACAAAAATATTAATAAATTTTGTAATAATAACAATATTAATAAAAAAGGTATATTAATAATAGTTTGAATTCTTGATGAGTGCTCAAAACGTAAGCAAAAAAAGGACGTCAGTCCTGCTATCTTCATTTAGTACACTATGTTGTATATTGTTCGATTATTTCTTTTCCAATAAATAAATAAATCGATTCCACGTTTGACTAGAAAATTAGTTTGATTTGCTAAGATCCAGGAAGATGAGGAGGGTCATAATCTCCAGTGCTACCGGCTCACCATCGATCTGGTTAAAAAGAGTCGGAACCAGAGATGGACTGGGAAGGTCACCCGGCTTAATTTACATTTCAGCTGATCAACCCGTGCTAGGGGTCGACGCGTGGAGCCGACACCCCATAGTGAAGAAACGCTGGTCAGGTTAATGAGCCATTATATTCCTGACAACGCCTGGTGGCATTAAGCAATAAAACCAGTCAGCCAACTTCCCATTTTAATGACAGGTATGGTGTCACAATAAGTGAGCTTATGTGTGTTAATCATATTGCACAGACTGGCACTAACAAGCTCTTGCCACTCGAAGGTGTTCTCCTCAATATTAAGTTCCTATTTCTCCAGCAAACCTTCTATAGATGACTTCAGTATTCGGATCATGTGTGTGTATGTGTGTGTGTGTGTGTGTGTGTGTGTGTGTGTGTGTGCCTCCACTGTTCACATCCTTGTCCATTCCTCTTCAATACTTTGTTGCCTGAGCTTGTTTACCGGCAGTTACTGCAGCTTCCTTCGTTATCTGGGTTTCCGGCGTCTGGCCTCGATCTGGTCACCCCCATGGTAGCCTTGCTCTGTTTGTCCTCTTCCATGCGGGGTCTAGCTTTGTCTGGCCCTCTCATGGAGGTCTAGCTCTGTTCCATGTCATTGTGGTCTCGTACTATCTGGCCCATCCTAGGGTGATCTAGCTCTGTCTGGCTCCCTCCCTTCCTAGTTGAGTTCTGTATGGCCCCTCCTATGATGGTTTAGCACTGGCCCCTCTCATAGTGGTCTAGGTTTTTCTAGCCTCTCACATGAAGATCTAGCTCGGTATGGCCCTCCCATAGTGATCCAACTCTGTCTGGCTCCTCCCATGGTGGCCTAATTTTTTCTTGCCCTTCCCATTGTAATTTGGCTCTTGCTATGATGGTCTAGCTCTTTATGGCCCTTCCCCTGGTGGTCTAGTTCTGTCTGGTCCCTTCCCGTGGTAGTCTAGCTCTGTTTGGTCCTTCCCAGGGATTTCTAGTTCTCCCTTCGCATGGGGGTTTATCGTTGTTTGGCCCTTTCCATTGTGGACTAGCTCTGACCCCTTCCATGTTAATCTAGCTTTGTACTCACCAAGTTGTGCTTGCAGGCGTTGAGCTTTGGCTCTTTGGTCTAAGTATAGCCTCTCCCATGGTGGTCTTGCTATGTGTGGCCCCCTCCCATGATACCATTCTTCTAGTCCTCTTCCATGCGGGGTCTAGCTTCCATGTAGTTTAACTCTGTCTAGCCTATCCCAAGGTGATCCAGCTCTGTCTGGCCCCTCCCATTGAGATCTAGGTCCGTTTGGCTCCTCCTCTGGAAGTCTAGCTTCTAGCTCTGTCTCGTCCCTCTCATTGTGGTCTAGCTCTGTTTGGTCCAACAAATTTCCATGAGAGTCTATCTGTCTGGCCTCTCTCAGGTTGCTATATGGTCATACTGGCTTAGTGCTCTCTCCTGATAATTATCTTACATACCAAAACTAAACCACACACCATGGGATGGGAGATGGGGCGCGACGTTTCGGTCCGTCTTGGACCATTATCAAGTCGATTGTGTGGACCACACACAATCGACTTGATAATGGTCCAGGATGGGACCAAACGTCGTCGTCTCCTCATCTTCTGGTGTGTGGTTTTGTCTTCATATCTTCAGCCACGTTATTGTTACATCGTCTGCATCTTACATACCGCCTCATGGTAGTCGAGCTCTGGCCTCTTTGATGGTACTGTAGCTATTTCGTCTCAAGGTAGTCTAGCTCTGTTTGGCCTACCTCATGATTGTGTAGCTCTGTTAGCTCCTCATGGTAGTATAACTCCATCTATCCCCTCCCATGGTAGTCTAGCTACGTCTGTCGCCTCCCATGGTAGTTAGCTCCGTCTGTTGCCTCCCATGGTAGTCTAGCACTGCCTGGCCCCCTCCCATTGGAGTCTAGCTCTGTCTGGCCCCATCGATGATAGTGTATCTGTCTGAACCTTCCTATGGTAGTCTAGCTCCATTTGGGCCTTCCCTTTGAAGGATAACTCGACCCTCCCCATGGTAGTACAGCTCTGTTTGGCCCCTCTCATAGTCTAGTTCCGTCTGGCCCTTCCCATGATAGCCAAACAGATCAGTTTGGCTATCATTGTCCTGCAGGGTAGCCCTGTGCAGGACCCGGGGGACACGGCCGCCTGCAGGACCTCGTGTGTCATGGTCCTCCGCAGGACCCGAGGGGATATGGCACCTTGTTGGACCCTGGGAACACAGTCACCTAATGGACATGAGAGTGTCATGGCTCGACATGAGAGTCATGGCCCTCTGCAGAACCCAGCGGGACATGACTCCTTGCAGGCTCCAGGGAGACATGGCCCCTTGCAAGACCCAGCAGGAGACGGCCTCCCGCTAGTCCTGCGGATCACTTTTCCTTGCAGGACCTGGGGGATTCGCCCTCCTGCTTGACCCAGGGAATCACGCCCTCCCCTCTGCAGGACTCTGGAAGACATGGCCCTCTACAGGATCTTTGCGAACATGAACGTCTGCAGGACCTAGGAGGGTGCACTGCCCCCAGTAGGATCCGGGGACACGGCACCCTATATAACCCAAGGGGACATGGCCTTCTGCAGAACCCGGGGGTTAACACGGCCCCTTTTAGGACCTGGGGAATAAGTCTCTCTGCAGAACTCATGGGGATAGGGCCCTCTGCAGAATTCGGGAGGACATAGTCCCCTACCGGACCTGGTGGGACACAGTCCCCTACAGGACCTAGTGGGACAGAGTCCTCTACAGGACCCAGTGGGACCTACAGGGTCGGTCGAGTCACGGGTCCCTGAAGGGCCTTGTGTAATGCAGACTCTTACCAGACCTTTTTTTCTTTAAGCATGATGTAACCATCGGCGGCTACTCTTGCATTAGCTCGTTAGCAAACCAAACTGACGTAAGACTGTTTTAGAGAGACTTGTGGTCAGACCGGCTGGTGTTGCCAGGGGCAGCGTCAAATATTAACGATGCTATACTACAATTTAACTGGTTTAAGGCAAATGTCAAATATAATAATTTACATGATACGATGACATTCGTCGTATGCGATGGCGCATCTTGTATATAAATGTCTTGTTTAGCATGTATGTGCTAATATACTCTTCCGTTACCATCCGAGGAGATTGAAGAGCTGGCAAATATCATTGTATCTTTGATACAAAGTGCGGCACCCGTTACCAGTATGGCGGGTTGTGTTTGTTAGATATACGGTTACACTTGAAGAAACAAATGCTGGGGTAAGCCAGCGTGATGACTCACGAGGACTGCTAAAGTTGGTACATAAAGCGACCTCGTGGACACAGTCATCGGTTGCGACAACTAGGTCCTGAAAGGTTAGTGCCAGAGAAAGTCCCTCCCTACCTCCCCTCCCTCCCTTCAAGCTTCTCTCTCTCCCTCCAGGCAACCATCGTTCTTGGGTTCCCTCCCTCCATACGTCCCTACCTCCCATCATGCTTCCCATTCTTTCTCTCCATGCTTCCCTCTTCCCTCATGTTTCTCTTCGTTCATACTTTCCTCACTACGCTTTCCTCCCTCCTCCAATGCTTTACATCTCCCCTCCTTACATCCCTCTCGCCATGCTTTCCTTTCTCCATACTTTCCTGTGCTGCAGTATGTGCTTTTTCAAGATATACTTGTTTTAACCACTTATTTTGCTGTCCCTGTATCGTTGCAATCTTGGAGATTCAGTTTTTTCTATTCAGTTCCCTTATGGTTGATGTCAACACGCATTAGATGGCATGTCCACACTCCAATGCTTACGTTGATTCTCCATTCATTGCTTACGTTGATTCTCCATTACGTTGATAGCAGCCATTCAGGCTGCTATCATCATACACTAAACTTGGCTTCCTGCTATTTGCTGAGAATTGTATGTAACCATCACTTCAATTTGCTGTTACCATACATATTTTACATTTCTGTGGATTGGCCACATCTATTATAGATATTTAATTAATACTTTTAAATTTTAACTTTTAAACTTTTAAACTTTTAAAAACTTTTAAATTTTAGATATTAAAATTAAAACTAAGTCCAACCATAAGCTATCATTATCCGTTGTTCCTTTTCGTTTCCGTTACCTGGTAGGTGTTCAAGGAAATAACGTTGTCTATTATTCTCTTGAGTTTCGTCTGTGAATGCAATATGTGGCTATAATTCCAGTGCTCTCTCTCTCTTGCAGTTACACAACCGTATTTATTTTTTCATCTGCATTCACATACATTATCTACACACACAGTTCTCTAGTACTAGTATACATTACCTACACACAGTTCTCTAGTACTAGGGAGCTGAGTTTCTGCTGGGGGATTTCAAATTGTTCCATGTTTATTATGGAGGGAAGAATGTATGGTGACTAGGACTCGGTTATTTTCATTCCATTGGAGGGTCTTGATGGGAATGTGAGGTTCCGATGATCACAGTGAACGAAATGTCGATTCACTGGATCTGGTGTGTGGTTGGCTAATATGATGGGCTTGCCAGCATTAAGGTATTGCTAACCAGACCACACTAGAAGGTGAAGGGACGACGACGTTTCGGGCCGTCTTGGACCATTCTCAAGTCGATTGAGTCATTCACAATCGACTTGAGAACGGTCCAGGACGGACCGAAACGTCGTCGTCTCTTCACCTTCTAGTGTGTGGTCTGGTCAACATACTTCAGCCACGTTATTGTGACTTATCGTCTGCACAAGGTATTGCTATTCCTTGCTCTTTTATCTCTTCATTCCTCCCTCCCCAATTTTGCTTCCTTTTGTTAATCTCTTTAAATATCTTGGCTCAGACACACCTCACTGTGTTCTGGTGCGCCTCCAAACTTCCTGTTCCTTTTCAGTATGTACTTAACTGGCCTCTTACGTCTGTATGTCACTTTAAGTACACATGTTGCATCCTATAATTTCTTTTGCCAACGTGACTCATCTGTATGATATTCCTGACCTCAGTATGTTTTTTATCTTGTTTGACATTCGTTGTTCTATTCTTATTACTTAAATTAGCCTAGTTTATTGTGCTGGATCACTGCGTTAATAAACGGCACCATTTGTCGGAAGGGAAGGGAACTATCATTGAAAACGCCAAACCATTACGACTATATAGCACTTGGAAGGGGTCAGGAAAGGGGTTTGGGATGGGACGGGGTGACGGGGAGAAAGGAATTATGCCCAACCACTTGGACGGTCCGGGATTGAACGCCGACCAAGCGAGACCGTCGCTCTACCGTCCACCCCGAAAAGTTGGACGAACAAATTAAATTGTCTTGGAATTCTTCCTAATTTTCTTCCAAGGTTCTCAACAATGTTTTACGTGGAGTCTTCAGGAATGTGGTACCATGTAAAATTGAGAACATATTCAAAGACTTTTGCTTATGAATACTCTTCAATTTAACTGTGCTACTTCACTGGCAGATGTAAACAAACTGTGCACAATTCCAAACAGTTTATTGTTAACTTCAGTACTCAGAAGAAGATCCAGTCTTGACATTTAAAATATACGATGATATTGTGACCACATTCCAGAATCTTCCCTTTATGAACGTGGGAATCGAGATACGGAATAACATGACATTAACACTTGAACAAAAGTGACATTCCCTTGGTATCCTTTGATTTGCTCAAATGCTTTGAGCACAAAGTTTCGTGCTCAAGCATTTGAGACTTTTAAAGGATCATGTGAGTTCCTCCCCTGCCTCCATAAAAAATAAATATAAATTTTGAGTGCCATTAATACTGCTTTATAACAAGATATAGTTGCCTCGGTATTTAATCTTGTCCTTACTATTAATTATTATATCTGTATCCCCTATGTACAAAGGCCGACCCACGGCTAGTTGCTTTAGTACGAAGCTTGGAAGGATGACAAGCACAAAGTCACTGCAAATGGCTACTACACAGAACCACAGTGATTTGCTGCAGGTCACGCAGAGGCAATAGTTCCTTGCTTGTCACAAGTCTCCACAACAAGACCTCTATCAACGGTTCACATACAGTATGATCAAATAATTTAAACTAAAACAACAAGATCCTACACCTGGCAGCTAATTTCAGCACTGTTTTTGTGGTAAACAAAGTCAGTTTTGATGATATTGAGAATCATTCTGAATGGTTAAACATAAGACAACCAATCATTTCAACAACTTTTAATTCATCTTCCCACAAACTAAATATCTGTTTACACTAACAAAAACTAAGCTTGAGCATGACTTGGTAGAAGCCGAACAGGCACTACAGAGTTAGAAGTCTCAATTTATGTATGGTGAATGCTCTTGGGGTTAAATTAACAATGAAGAAAATTGCCAGTATTTTATTATACTTGAGTCATGCTTTCATTCTAATTCATGCACGCTGTCATAAAGTTTAGAACTAAGAACTTTTTGCATACCTAGGAGCTTTTTACTTTAATAACTTTACCACTACAAATGACTGGCTTCTGGAGCCAGTCTTTTGTAGTGTTGAATGGTACAATCAATTTATCTAGCCACTGTGTACCTTAAGCTCAATGGGGGTGGAGTGATATTCTGTGACTCTAAAAGTGCTCTGCAGTACTTAAATAACCCATCACAATTTTTGTCTAAAGTAGCTTGTAATATTAAATGGAATGTAATTTTTTGCCAATGATAATAACTATTGTATAAAATTTGTGTGGATCCCATCCCATGTTGGAGTTGGGAAATATGACTGTAGATCGATTGACCAATGAGGCTTGCAGGATAAAAACACTTGATTATGACTTTGGACTATCTAATGCAATTATTAGAAACATACAAATTAAAGAAATTAATTCAGATTTAGAAGAGCTAAGAATTGCCCAGAGACCTGAAAGCTGCAGTATTAAAAGCTATGACAACTTTTGTAATAATAGGTATTTGTATGATCAGCACAGTAGCCGGACCAGGCAATGTGATGTAATCATTGCGTGTATTCGCCTTGGCTATAGACATATCTGGCAGGTTAGTGAGACTGAGCCACTACGAGAATATTCAGATTGTAAACTCTGTGGCAAACCTTTAATGCATTCACTAGAACACTATATTGTTGAATGTGAAACCTTAAAAGATTTTAGACCTCCTGGCCTATTGTACCACCTACTGTGAAAATATTTCATTGAATCTGGTGTACTGGACGACATCCTAACAATTTATTCTAAATTTGCTTGTCCATTTTAAAGAATGAAGAACAATTTTATTTATATTATTATTATTAAGCTGCAACTTTTGCCCAGGGATGGGTTCATCCCTGCCCTTGTGTGACAGTGCACAATAGAAAGTTGTATTTACATATTCGTACATTGAACATTGATTGTAACCATGATATATATATGTGCTTGTCTTCAGTTCAGATCTATTGTCTTGTGTATGACCCTCTGTCCTGTGTGACCGCGAATACCAGCAGTATCCTCACTCTCTTAAGACTTAATTGAATTCCTCAGATTAGGCAAAATTGTAATTAATTTGTGTAAATAAAGATGTTAATAAAAGGGAATATCGTTTTGTCTAAAGTTGGAGGTCAGATGCTTGGGATTATCATCACCCAAATTTGCAGGTGGAATGGTCTGGGACACGGAATAAACATAGACTGGTCGGGGTAGCCAGAATTTAAAAAGGGAACAGGGTGCCAGGGGGTCGCATTTTGACCCCCACAGTGGTTTTTGGCATTGCCCGCCAGCTACCTGTCGTAATATTTTGAGAAAAATCAAAATAATTTTTTTCATATATAAATATATATATACTGTTATTTACCGATCTCTGGAAAATTAACAGAATTTTCACGCTTTTCACACTAAGGCGTGAATGCGCTTTAGTTTGAACACATAAATTCCATATGGAATTTATATTAAATTCCATATGGAATTTATGTGTTCCATAAAACACATCAATTCAATTCAATCCCCCAGCCTCAACCACCAGAAAAAACTGAAGGCTGGCCCACAGATTCAAAAGGGGGAACTATTATATTATATGTAAATGTCAATAATAATATTAAGACATACTGACACTTGGTCTTAATGTGTTATTCGTAATATTGTAGGGTAAAGGGGGACGAAAGCAAGAGAGAGAGAGAGAGAGAGCTATATGTAGAGAGAAAGAATGGAGACAGACATACTAACCCGGACAATGCTGGCTAACCCCCTAAGTATGTATATTTAATACTTTCGACCAAATATATATACTTTCAACCAGATAGTTGAAAGTACCAATATGTAGTGAGTGACCACCAGAAAGTTGACTCGCATTATTGAATTTGAACAATCAGGAAAGTTTTTAACCGCAACATAAATATAAGACCTAGCCTAACCTAACATCTAGCAATGATAGACATAATACACGGTATCGTAGGCCTAATGTAGTACATATATGTGCTATACTAGGTTAGGAATATTTAAGTTTAGTTTTTAGCTTAATTTTGTCAGGACTATATAATAAATAGTACAAAAAATGATTTACTGTGGTCCATCACTACATATTGATACCTTGGACCCAATAGTTACTATAAGTACTATCATTTCAGGAGAATGTGTTGACATTATATATATAAGGCACAACTCTCCTAAACACGAGAGTGAAGTATACAACTTTAGAACACTTTCCCACCAGGAGACTCGAACCCTAGCCAGCACAGAAGCCTTCCAGCAACTGGCATAACTGGTGGTGGAGCGTGTTAAGGCGTACCTGTTATGCCAGTTGCTGGAAGGCTTCTGTGCTGGCTAGGGTTCGAGTCTCCTGGTGGGAAAGTGTTCTAAAGTTGTATATATATATATATATATATATATATATATATATATATATATATATATATATATATATATATATGTTTCATTGAATATGAAAGATGCTAGAGCACTAGTCAGAGGGATAGAAGCCATAAACAAGAAATAATCAATACAGAATATGCAGTCATATTCAATGAAACATGTATAAATGAAAACCGGCTGCCAATATATATATATATATATATATATATATATATATATATATATATATATATATATATATATATATATATATATATATATAAGTAAAAGGTTTAAATTAACAATAATAAATCTTCAGCAAATTACAAAGAAATATTTTACAGAATCATACAGGGGAGCGCATTAATCACCAGCACACTCGTTCACTAATTATTCTCAACCTCAACTACAAACTAGCTCTTATTAGGATATTAAGTTTCCTTAATATTCTGTTAACATGACAAGTATTGTTTTTTGAGAGGCTGCTGCTGTTGGTGGCAGGTGATGATTGCTATTCTTCAGCTCCATAAACACTCTAATACGTTTCCGATTCAATCCAGGATCCAGGGTTGTTGCGTAAGAAGTATTTACGGCACTCATCATATGTAAAGATGAGTATTGAGTAGGGAATGGCTGGCAGCCACCAGTTGAACCTGCACAAATATAATTGCACCGATTACACACTTCATTGTTGAAACTGTCAGTGACAGCCAGTACAAATAATCTAATTATAAACTATTGCCATGTATAATAAATATTATTTAAATTATTAATTAAATGGCTAGTAACGTTTCTATATGCTTCAGTATTTAGCGTCATTAAGACTTAGCCGCTACTTTACAAAGGAAGAAAGGAAGTAACTATATTTGGTGCTGTTACATAAGGACCGTCAAGAAAGATATAATTTTTGGCCTTGGGGAATTTACGTGTCAAAATGCAATATACTCGTCAAGAGGACGGGTTGGACTATTCGTGGTGATGAACAAACTAGTCCATATTCGAACTATTCGAACATATTCAAAAGTTTTCGAACATACTCGAATGATTGTTTTAGTTGCTAAAGAAAACAGATTTTAAATTAAATTCCTTTGGATACCATCACATGTTGGCATCTCAAAGCATGATACTGTTTATATGCTTGCAAAGACCGCCTGTAGTAGACCAGTAGTATAAATTAATATGGGTGTTTCATTAGCAGTGACAAAGATAATATTTATACAAATATCTAATGAAAATCTTACTGACCTAACAAATTCACTAAGACCTGAAAGTTGTAGCATTAAACATTATGATAAATATCGTGAGGAGACATTTATATATGGAACTAATAGGGCAAGAACTCGGCAGTGTGATATTACAGTGGCTAGAATATGCCTGGGATCTGGTAGCTCTCTCAAACCCCAAATTTCTAATACATCATGTGTCAATTTTGTGAAAGAGAAAACATGCTTTCCGTTGAACATTATATTGAAGAATGTTCTATATTGACTGACTTTCGCCCTCCTGGAATGAGGTATGCTGAACTCTGTAAATACTATATGAATACTGGAACACTTGATGATAGATTGGACTTGTACCCAAGATTGACTATTTATACAATGTTATACAATGCACCAGTTATACAATATGATGTAACTATAACCTGAGCTTGTAAGAGCACCCTAATCACCTTCAGTGGTTTGGTGCTTAATACCACACTAGTTTATATAGCAGCTACCTTACCCTGTCAAAGTAGGTGAGACATAAATGTATGTGTGTATGTATGTGTATATGTATGTATGTATATGTATGTATGTGTTTATGTATGTATACAGGATATGTGGAAGCTGGTCAGAATTGCATTTCACCTTTGTAAACGCACATTAATGACATTGTGTAAAAAAAACACATCTAATACTTTTTATGTAGGGCAGACGTAAATCTGTGTATTTATGTATTTCTGTATGTAGGTTAGATTAGCATTTTATAAGTACTGCAATCACTTGTATAACACATCTCTAACCCTATCCATGAAGGACAGACGAAAATGTAGATATGCTGGTTAGCATTGTAAATGTGTGGCGACGTCTGTGGTAGAAAAAAAGGACCATCAAAAAAGACATCAGTGGCCCCTTCAGATCACGTGAAGAAAAGGAAGCACTTCATCTCATTCTTTTACTAGTTTGTTTAACACCACGGATAGTCCAACCCGTCCTCTTGAATAGTACACTGCATTGCATTTTGATACGCAACATCCCCTAAGACCAAACATTGTTGTACTAAAAATCATATCAGCTCGCAAGATTGATGTGATGTCCCGCTTTCTATTCGTGGGTCCTCGGTTTGGTTAGGCTCGGGCAATTTAGTGCATCGGTTTAGAGATGTTGGAAACGCTTAAGAGGACTGGCTGGATATATAAATACACAAAGAAATCACAGTAACGTGATGGGTTAGGGAGAAAATTGGTAGGAGCCATCAGGAGGATTCGAACCTAAGTGCTCTTTGTACTCTCAAGCAAATGCCTTAGACCACTACACCATAACATGGTAAAAGCATTGCAACCTGGGATTCAATTAATCCTCTTGGGTTCCTGAGGCTTACAATGAAGGCTAATCAGGGTTTCACACAATGCCCTCATGCACTCTGGCTTGTCATCTAGGAATTTTACCTCCCACGCTTCTCTTTAAATGCACAAAGAAATCACATTAACTCGATGCATCAATGAGACAATCAGTATGAGCCATAAGGTGTCACTACCTGGTTTTATGAGTAACTCGCCTACACTCTGGCATCAGCCCGTCATCCAAAGGTTTTCCAACGTCAAGAAGACGGTAAATTTAAAATGTCCTCTTCTAACCTACCAGAGAACCCAAAACAGAAAATGGAACAGTACGTCACTTTTGCGAGCCGCTTACTTTTTCTAGTGCGACAATTTTTGGCCTTATGTAACGCATACAAGAGAAAAGCAACGTTCTTTGTAAGAGGACAGGTTGCTGGCATGTGGAAAATGGAATTCTCCTCCAAATGCCCCCATTCAGATCACAAAGAAATCACAATGGAGTGATATATCAATGGGAAAATCAGTTGGAGCAGAGCAAGGATTTGAACCAGCGTTCTAATGAATACCAGATGCTTGTCTTAACCCACTTGGCTACTATAGGACATTGCTGTTCATCCCAGAACTACTGTATCAACTGAGGGAGTCTGGAAGGCCCCAGTTGGTGCCACAACCAGGTCTTACAAATAACCTGTCTACACTCTGGCATGTGGATAATGGAGTTCTCCATTATCCACTCGCCCCCTTTCTGAACACAAAATCAGAATGGCTTGACATATCAATGAGAGTCAATTAGAGCATTGCGGGGATTAGAACCAACATGAACCAGCGTTCAAGTAAATACCAGATGGTTACACCAACCCATTCAGCCATGATGGGACAAAACTTATTCAACTTGGAAGTCTACCGAGTGCACTAAGAGAGGTCTGGAAGTCCCACCTGGTGCCACAACCAGGTATTACTAATAGCCTGCCTATACTCTAGCATGTGGACAATGTAGTTTTTCACCAAATGGTCCCTTCAGAGCACAAACAAATCATAATGGCGTGATTCTCTCATTTATATATCACGCCATTGTGATCTCTTTGTGTCTTGATGGGGGCATATGGTGGAAAACTCTATACCCCACAGGCCAGAGTGTATGTGGGCTATTCGTAAAACCTAGATGAGGCACCAGCTGGGACTTTCAGATCTCTCTTAGTGCACTCAGTAGACTTCCAGGTTGAAAAGGATTTGTCCCATCTTGGCTGAATGGTGGGACATCAGAGTGATGGGAGTGGTGGGACATCATCTAGTAAATACCAGATGCAAGCATCTGGTATTTACTAGAATGTTGGTTTATGTTAGTTTATATCTCCACATTTCTCCGACTGATTTTCTCATTTACATATCACGTCATTGTGATTTCTTTATAGTATATTATATTGTTATAATGTTTCTTTCTTTCTTTTGTGTTAATCCGATTTTACTTTGAATTAAAACGAAAATAATAATCTTTACTTGAGGGGGTACATATGAAGACCCTTATCCATCCCTGGGGTGTAGGAGAGGAAGGCAGCCAGAAGAGTCTCGAAGACTAAAGCAAAGTTCAGATGCATATTCCTGTAAAACAACAAACTCGTATTATCACATAATGGCATGTGATGGAAGCAATTAATAGAAGCTTTTATTGGCAGATATAAATGTCCTCTAAGGAAGAAAATGCAGTTTGAAGAATTTGAATGCCTTTTAAACTTACAATCAACTAGTTCTGGGAAAAAAGACGTGAATTATCTTCTGCTGTTTCGTAATTAAAATAATTTAAGTGTACTTACTTCATTCCCTGATGAAAAATGGAGTTACGTCGGGTCTTGCAGATTATCAGATCTGCCCATTGCGCAATAACAACGGAAATGAAGAAGGCTGTGTGACATGTATACTCTAGAATTTTGCGGTCGTGGTAGGTCTGAGAAAGACATGAAGTTAAAGTTAATTACTTATTTGCAACAAATAAATAGAGTAACAATTTAATAAACATGCTTGTCACTGGGAAAATTTTGAAGACACGGTGGGAAAGAAAGATGCATTATTGTTAACCTGCTTTGAATTAAACAAACTATACTCCCTTCCGTTTTTTGAATTAACTATTTATATTTTGAAGTTAGCACACAATTGTACACAAATAAAACTTGGATATGCAGGCATATAAACATGTTAGTGATTGTGTAAAGTTACCAAAACAGTTATAAAAACCTCTTTCTAAAAATACTAACACAATTGGGATTTGTGAGGTCTCCACACCCAAGGTGATCCCTTAACGGCATGTAACTGTACTGGTCTAAGTGCCACCCTAACAGTACTTGTTGGTTGGGAGGATTAGCTGTTAAGTGCACCCTTTCTCAAGAATCTCCTGCAACACTACTCACAAATTCCTAGACATGTACTCTACTTATAAACCTGTGAACTCATTTGGTCTGAACCCCCTAATACACTGAAGGCTCAATTACTTATATCCCGGTGATTATTTTGTTCCTGGTTTCGTTCTATTTCGTGTTGAGCAGTCTACCCTTGTCCACCTTTTTCTATGCTTCAGCCAGAATCAGAATATTGAATTTAAAAATATTTGTACGATGCAATAATGCTTCCTCTGGTTTATCTTCCTGTAAATGTTTGCTGGGTTAATTTTTTTTAGCCCACTTGCATAGGTGTGATCTATTTCTTTATCAACCTGACAAATATCGGGGCCTTGTTTTGTATGTTGCACTAAGTTCGGTTTCCTTTTCAAGGGTTTGTCATAATTTAGGCATAGGAATAAACAGTAACATCAGTAAATTGTTCAATGATGCTAAAATTGTGTAGGTGATAAATTCAGAGGAAGACGCAGAAGCGTTACAGGAGACCTGACCTGAGTCAAAGTGAACTGAAAATTAGCAGATGTTGTCAAGTGCACTGTTCTTAGCAATTGAGAAGAAATCAGACCTAATAAATATCACGAAAATAGTGAAATTGCGATATCATATTGTAAAAAGAATCAAGGAATCATTATTACTAGGGATATAAATCAATGCTTAACTATTAGAAATGAGGTCAATACTATACCAGGATTCATACATAGAAACGTTAGTAATAAAAGCTGCAATAATATTATTCCACTATCTTGACCTTATTATGAATCCCTCACTTTTAGTTATGCAGTACAGTTTTGGACACAGTACTGTAGAAAGATGGAAATTTTTGTGATAACGAAGAAAGAAGGTTTAAGGTACTAAGAAAAAAAAAATGATATTCCTAGAAATATGTTCAGAATGAACGGGCATAATTGAAGAGTACAAATGGATGAAAGAGATTAACAAGGAAAATATGAATAAGGAGATAAAAATATATATCAACGTTAGAACAAGAAACAATGGTTTAAAACTGGGGAAATATATATTTATAAAATAAATAGGTAAGGAATGGTTCGTAAATTGGGATGGAAATCTGTGGAAGAAGTTACCATAACATGGTAGAAGCAAATTTACTTGTAAGTTACAAACAGGTTGAATAACCACATGAATTAATCAAATATATGTGTGTGTTATATATATATATATATATATATATATATATATATATATATATATATATATATATATATATATATATATATATATATATATATATATAAAGCAAACACTCACCCATTCCTGGCCGTAGGAATCCTCCAAATCATTGATGGCAAACGAATCCCATCGTTGACGGATACCAAAGAGTTTTTGAGGAATGAATCCATTTTGTGCCATAATGAAAAAATAGGTGTAGAACCCCGCCATTGACTGGATCATACCAATCTGACCATAAGCCATGGAGATGAGCCTGTTGTGTAGGAAATAAATCATTCTGGACACTGACAAAATATTGTTGGTAAATAATTAATTTACAGATAAATTTCAGAAATGTCATAAAAATTACAGATGTTCATTATCATTTTAGCTTCCCTCAAGTTTAACCAAGAGAGTTTGGATTAAATATAAAATATATTTAGAAGACAACAACATTTTAATGATTTAAAAGAACATTGACATTCTTCATTATACAGGTATTACAATATTGCTTATAATTAAACTTTTTTTATGTAAAGTATAAATAACCAATATAAATTGTATCCAAGTCATACTTTTCATGTTAAATTATGAAACTCTTCATCTGTTGAATTTGTGTTGCTAACTCCATCAGTTTGAGAGCAAAGATTACCATAGAAAGTAAAAACAAAATCAGCTGTTGTAATGTTTACAGAATTGTTTAAATAAAAAATCTTTTTATCTGAACCATCATTTTAAAAATAGGTCCAATGGGTTTCGTATGTCCAAAATTTAATTAGAAATTCAGATATGATAACAATTTTGTTTTACCGTGATAATCAATATTTACGGAAATAAGAGTCATCAGTTATCAAAATTACATGTGGAACTTCCAATGAGTCAATTTTCAACCTCCATTTAGCGAAGCTCGTAATTTTATAAATGGTATACAGCAATGCAATATTTTTAAAACATACTATTAACTTTTCCACACACACAAAACTCTCCTGGTTGAGGGATTTTATATCAAACGTTTCTGAAAAGTCATTAAAGTAATACTTCAGGGACATAAATTCTCCAAATAAAACCTGTGATCCTTTCATTAAGATCATATTGTAAAAATCTGTCACACAGTGTTGTGATTAACTGTTTACCTTTACACTTTCATGGCTCTTACACACTGATCAAATTTATTGCTTACCTTGATACCTTCAAACAATAAGCTTTGTTATTTCAGTTGTTCTTGTTTGAGATCAGTTATGAATCATTAGTAAGGAATAACCGGTTAGTAAATTGACACAAACATTACCTCTCGTTACAAAGTTTGTCAGTGAAGGGATTGCGGGGTGGACGCTTCATAATATCAGATTCAGCTGCTTCATATGCAAGGGAAATGGCTGGCACCTAAAAGTTTAAAAAAAATTATCATTTCACCACAAGTAAAAAAAAATACATGTAATATGGATTTATAATTAGGCTATGGAGATTTAAGCTACACGCTCTCATTCGCCAACTTGTCCGTGAACGGATTGCTGAGTTGACTGGGTCTCTTGGTACAGTTAGCCTAGTTTTCGAATCACAATCGGGGATCTGTGGTTCGATTCTCAGGCGGGACAAAAATAGTTCGTCACGTTTCCTTTCCCAACGAATTAAATTTTATGCTACAAACTGTACACTAAACATGGCATCAATTACATTGTCTCTTCTTTATCAAAATGAGAAAACGTAAGAAACCTTCAATTACAGTAAGGATTTTAAAAGACAAAAGACATCCCATTTTCTCTCTTTTCCTCCTACCTGTGCTCTCTTTTTTCCTTCCAGTCTCTCTCTCTCTCTCTCTCTCTCTCTCTCTCTCTCTCTCTCTCTCTCTCTCTCTCTCTCTCTCTCTCTCTCTCTCTCTCTCTCTCTCTCTCTCAATATGCACTATACACAGCCAGTAACCACACCATAACCACAATTACCAAGTGGTACTTTAGTTGATTGAGGCGCGTCTAGGAACGTCACGTGCATAGGTTCAAAACCTCATCAAGGCCCTTGTGGATTTGTTCATTTGATATATCGCGCTATTGTGATTCCTGTGTGTACATAACCACAATGGTATTTTGCACTATTGTTACTTTGTTTCAACGTTGTGACAACGTTATGGTTACATTGTATGTGTCATGAGCCGCTGAAAAATATGTTGAAAACTTCATGGAAAGCCAACCAACATTTCAGACTTCAGAGACGTCTCTAGTTGTCGCAATAGGAGCCAATCCTACTTAAGGAGTAGCATGAGCGTCGACCTCGACCCTCTATGACACTCTCCATACAATCACAAATCATCATGGAAAGTTGCATGAGCCTAACCGTAAGCATCTAGCCTCCAAACTCATACAAACAAACAAACAGACATTTTCTCTTAGGACATTGGTTGAAGAAAAAGACCTAATTAAATTGTTAGACTTTAAACCTAACAACTATTGTATATTGTTATCTTCCGGAAGGTAGCTGATATGGAATGCTTACTACTGTTTAAGGAACATTTAAAAAAAATCCGTACATAGATTAACGTGTGAGTTGAAGATTAAAGGTATTCTGCCTTTCCTGGATGCAACCGTCTCGTTAAGGAATGGCAGCTTCCACACATTTGAGTCAATACAGTGGGAACTAAAATGGAGATGTGCCTTAATGATAGTTGTGAGTGTCCTGACTATTACAAGGGAAATGTCCTGACTATTACAAGGAAAATGTCCTGACTATTACAAGGGAAATGTTCATACTTACATACAGCTCATGTTTGAAGCAGCTTGATGAGGAACTCGGTAGAGTGAGGCAGGTCCTTGTCAACAACAGATACTCTAATACAATAATTTGCAAAACTTGCATTTGAATTTTAAAAGTAAAAAAAAAATATAGAATATTACAAAATAAATCAATGTAACTAACTTACAATATCAGTGCCCAGATCAATGAAGAGGATGGTTACGGTACCCAAAGGTAGAGGCACAGAGGCTATCATGAAGAACACAAACGGAGTGATCTCGGGGTTATTGGAGGTCAAGGTATAAGCGATCGACTTCTTGATATTGTCAAAAATGAGTCTGCCCTCCTCAACACCCGTGACAATGGAAGCAAAGTTGTCATCTAACAAGATCATATCAGCAGCCTGTTTGGACACGTCCGATCCAGCAATACCCATAGCAACACCTGAGTGAAGCAAATGTTTAAGTTAACAGAGCTTTTACTCTTCTATGATAATGCAACGTTGGAAAACCAGACATGATCTTCACATATATATTGCAGAGACATGCCATAACATACAAGTTTTATGAATATATATAACTTACTTGCAAGATGAGCGAAACAAAACTTACCAATGTCAGCCTTTTTGAGAGCAGGAGAGTCATTAACACCATCACCAGTCACGGCAACAATGGCTCCCATGCGCTGACAGCCTTCAACAATGATTAGTTTCTGTTGAGGTGAAGTACGGGCGAACACAATCTCAGAGTGGTGAATGAGAATATCATCTAACTGTTCAGATGTCATGTTTCTTAGTTCTGAGCCATGCACAACAGCAGCCTTCGCTTCACGTGGGTCTACAGCTTTAATAGGGATGTTCAGTCTCTGAGCAATATCCTCAACAGTTTCACTTCCTTCAGAAATGATCCCAACAGATTTGGCAATTGCCTTGGCAGTGACGGGGTGATCACCTGTAACCATGATAACCTTTATTCCAGCCGATCGACACTTTGCTACAGCATCGGGTACAGCAGCTCGAGGAGGATCAATCATAGACATTAATCCTACAAAACGAAGGCCATGTACAGGGAAATTGACACATTCCGAGTTAAAGGGATATCCAAACGGATACCTATCAGAAGGTAAAATATAGTCACAGAAACCAAGTACCCGTTCTCCAAGACCTCCAAGCTCCAAACTGGCATTGTGGAAAGCTTCTTTCATTTCTTCATCCAGAACCCTTTCTTCGCCATTAATGTAAATAGTTGAGCAGCATTCCATGATTTTCTCAGGGGCTCCCTTCATGACAAGGAGGTAGCGGGGGTCAATTTTGTCCTCGGTTTCGTGTATCGATATTTGGTATTTATTTGTGGAATTGAATGGAACTTCACATACCTTCTTGTTTCGTGCGCGCCAGGCTCTTACGTTTCCAACAGTAACTTCGGCACATCTAAGCAGAGCAGCTTCTGAAGCATCGCCATTTACTTCACGTTTCATGATAGGGACAGCCTCTTGTCCAGTCTTAAATTCCGCACGGTTGCAGAGAGCCGCAGCTCTAAGTAGTGCATTCCAGCTGTGAGCTGTATCGTCACGTTGGCAGGCAGCTTGGTCTTCAGATGTATCGGCTTCAATTATCGTATTGTCAATCCACATGTGGGCCACTGTCATACAGTTCTGGGTCAGGGTTCCAGTCTTATCCGAGCAGATGGTGGAAGTGGACCCTAGAGTTTCAACAGCTTCCAAATTTTTTACAAGACAATTCTTGGCTGCCATTCTCTTGGCAGTGAGTGTGAGACAGACAGTGACTGTGGCAAGAAGACCCTCAGGTACATTGGCTATAATTATACCAATGAGAAACACTACAGCATCTAGCCATTGGTAACCTGAAAACACAGACGAATGAGTTTTCAATGATCAAAATATTGTGGTTTTGTTTATATGTAAAATCTACGGTTGAAACAATCCTGCAATCCTACACCAATTATATTGGTCGGTAATTTGTTTCACAGATGCTACATGTTGATCTATTTCTAAACTAAACCAGTATTTAACAAGATCTTTTCTGACTATACGTACTTTACTTACATCCATTGTTTTGTGTTCTATTTTGCTGATATTTAAGCACCTCTATGTAAATATCCCTTTTAGACAATCAATGAGAAAATTAACTGGAGCTGTGAGGTGACTCGAAAGCGCGATCGAGCATCATTTATTTGATTAACGTCAATGGCTGGGATTCTCCTGGTCACGGGTTCAAGTCATCTCAGAGCTCCACTTGATTTTCTCTTTCTCTTTCTGATTTTCTCACAGGTAGTAATTATTGCCAGGTTAATCTTTGAAAATGATTCTTAACTAAAATCTAGTATGTCACTAGAGGTGACTTCTACTTCCAAAACAAATGGGAATTATCTAAATACTCGAGCCAGGTTAATTACAATGTTCAGTAGCTCTTGTATTACTCTAGTTTTACATGATTTAACAAATATGTTGGTAGGTATCTATTTTCCCGTAGCGACACATGTGTCTAAAACATATATAAATCTTACTGACGTCAACTATATCTTTGATATCATCCAAGACTTATTCCGTATTCTCAATTGACATTAGTTTTTAACATAAGTACTTAACCATGACTAATAATTCCTCTCAATTCTGAAATACTTTCATAATACTCCTAGTTCGAATGCACGTCATGGGAGGCAGTTGGCGCCACCGTTTTCTACATTAATCCCTTGGGAATGCCTTAGGCTACCAGTCAGAACAGGTCACTACCAATTTCCATTGTTTAACTCTATGAACTTTCTATATTACAGTTCTACTGTTACAGCCCCCTTGTTCAAGTACTTAAGAAACTTTGTGTTAAACTATTTAATGTACAGGGCTATTGCATTTAGTTATTTCAGTACAGGGATAGGATGTTTTATTCTCAGATGCATTGGAAAGATTATTGGGCAGTCATCAAGATTATTGATGCTGTCATCAGCATAGTCGGGATTCACATCCCAGGGTTTTGTTTAATTGTATAATTATGGTTATTGATATACAACCTGCTGGTTGTCATTGAGTGTTAGTTAGGACAGTTTTGGATTTTTTGGAGGCTTTGTTTCAGATTGTTAATTATAAAGTAAGGGGTTTGAGATAAGAAACTGTGTATTAAATAGTTTAACACAAAGTTTCTTAAGTACTTGAACGAGGGGGTTGTAACAGTAGAACTGTAATATAGAAAGTTCATATTATAGAAACAGTAGAACTGTAATATAGAAAATCCGGTGGATTTTCTCATTGATGTATATCACGTTAGAGTGATTTTCTTTATGTAATTGAAAATAATCACCAGTTAGCACTATTCACAGTAGGTACAGGAGTCAAAACCTGCATCAGAGGAGTTCCAGGATATTTCAAGTGCCTAAGTACTGTATCGTAGAACAGGTTGATGACCGTGAGTGGTGTCCCAAGAAACATAAAGCTGTAGTGTATTTGACTAATAAGTGAGATAAAACGAATGTGCAGTGAGAAGTGAAATAATTGGACGAACTAATATCCAGGTCAGAAAGAGCCACAGAAAAAGTAAAGATCATTGATAAAATTGTTGCGGTATTGGAATGTATTATAGTTGGTTCGACTATATGTAATTTATTGCTAATAACAAACTATGTGCTATCCAATCCCCTTGGCCCTCCTTTAATCATCGCAACAGGAAGTGGGAAAGTTGTGGCAAGGTTAAGTGTTGACCACACAAGATTAAGTCAAGAGCACTTAAATGGAAGAGAGACCTGCACCTTACTGTAAACTACATTGTTCCATTGCTATTCAGCTCATAAATTATCCTGATGTTCTAAATGATCAGAAAATTTGCTATTTCACAATCTATTTTGAGTATATGTCATTTGCTAAAATCTTAAGTGAATCTGACTCATTTGATATCGTTCATCTTGCTATCTTGAGTGATGTCTGTGAACTCTTGTATATTCTATAACACAGACGACGTTATATAGCCTCCTACGTTTAGTGCTTTACTTTAATATTTACTTAACCAGGTTGAAAAATTGCTTCAATAAGATTAATTAATAAAAATATTAGATCGCTGATATATCCGACTCTTCATTTTATTGAGGTAGTTTGATTAATAATAAGACAACATGACAATAGTTCAACAAAAGTTCAATAGAAGACACAGTAACGACACGCAGGTGGGTAGACAGCGAGTGTATCATGGAGTAGTTTACATAAATATGCTTACTATGATCCAAAAATGTTACAAGAGATCATTACGAATAACAGAGAAGCAGTCACTAAATACACTTGGGATAATAATGATAACTTACCCATCATAAAGGCAATCGCACAGAAGGTAAAGCCCAGAGTCATTGCTACAGCAGTGATGAGGTGGACGAAATGACCGATTTCTTTAGCAATGGGTGTCTGGGACGTTTCCAGACCAGACGCCAGTCCAGCAATGCGGCCCATAACCGTGGTGTCTCCGATGTTGATAACAATTCCTCTGGCAGTACCTATAACGTAGAATATTCAACAATAATAGTTCTCTTGTATTTAAACTTAAAATATAAATATGAACAGTTATTTTCAGAGTTAAATAATTATTGAGTTCTCACCCTCGACAGCACTAGTGGAGAAAAAAGCGAGGTTCTTGGTCTCCAGCGGGTTGTCTGATGTAAATTCAGGGGAACGGCTTTGTGGTTCACATTCTCCAGTTAGTGATGAGTTGTCTACCTGTATGGTAAACATTACTTAATATTATAAAAATAAATTATTTAAAGTTCACCTAACCGTGCAGCTCAATTTCTCAATAGCCCCCCAAAATATGTCCTAATTTGAAAGTATTAAAACATTTGCATAACCAACCTTAAAACCCCTAGATTCAATGATGCGGACATCAGCAGGGATGCGGTCACCGAATTTCACCTCTACGATATCTCCTTTGCAAAGCTCCTCAGCCAACATGTTCTGCTTGTCACCATCACGAACCACGATTGCATACTAATAGGAATAAACAAAGTTTACTATTGCATTGCAAATCATTTATTATTGTATGATTTAATTTAGAAACAAATATTAGCTAAAAATTATTTACATATAAAACTAGAAATTAATACTGTATATGCACTAAAGTTCTACAATATTCTGTTAAATATTGATGTATTTATTTACATTGATGTCGGTGTTGTGAACTACAAAAATTATCGTTTTGCAAAGTGTTGTACTGTTATATATGTGTCGAGAAAAGGACTATATGCACTGCGAGTTATACCCCACTTCAGGAGTTTACTTTAGCCCTAGACTATGTTTAGGACTTAAGTATACTTTCCAGTTAGTCAATAAGCTACTGTAGTGGCTTTAAAACCTTCCAGAGGTTGATAGGTCGTAAGCCCTACACCAAACTAATGAGAGTCCTGGAAATATAAAGTTTTTATATTCATTACTAAAACTTAACATGCAGCAAAGTGAGACAAAGCACTTAACATTTATTATTACGTTCTATCCAGCAAGAACCAGGCTCTCAGTGGAAGACTAATGTTTATTTACGTCTTTAACCTGTCACTGGAAACAGTACGTTATTCACTAAGTGCTGTATTGACTGACTTTAGATTTATAGTGTTTACGATGATATACTTCACTGTTGCCGCCAGCGGCGGCTATGTGCCCTCTATATTCATCTTGTGAGCAATAGTGCAAAACTATTATGGGGGGGGGGGCCACAAGCGGTCATAATCAGGGTTCACTGGATGTTTGACACTACACCCCTTATAATTAATTTTAGTGATAACTTGCATTGCAACAACTATTAATGGGAATACATTATTACACTTTGGAGGTAATACTGTATGTAAATAATTTGCAATATAGGATATTACAGGTTAATAGAAGAGATGTTGTATATGGTTTTAGTCAGCATAGCTTATGCCTTCATCATATATACTTTAATTCCTTTATCTACTAGAAGGGAAGTTTGGATACAGTGAAAGAATCTCAGATATTTTATTTATAATAAACTGATTTGCCTTTACATACAACTTATACTCTCAACATAAGTCTTATAACTTTCTTAAGGAAAATTTCCCACTCCACACACAGTACTAGCAACAGTCACGTGGAAAACATTGTCTGAATTGGAATAATAAGCGTCTCCCAAACTGGTCTTACTGACTTTACCCTCGTCGATTGCTGGGACAACTTAGCACCCATTCCATAAGTAATGTTAGACCAGTATGTAACTCCCACTTGAGCCGTGGGGGTACATAAAGGCTTGAAGCCAGGTGGCCAACGTGTTCCTGTCTAATGCTAAAGATTGTGCAGCTGTATTTATAGTAATGCAAATATATGTCCATTAGCTGCCTTTTCTTTTTGTTTATAATTAAGGCTCTCTGGCCATTGGTTTACTCTGATAAATGTATAAAAAACTAATATTACCTGCGCAGCTATAAAATAAAAAATATTAACAAGCTAAATAAACACTGAGCAGAATTAATTACGAATTTATAGTTCCCTGTCTATTTTTTTTTGTTTAGTGCATGCGTAAAACTCTACTGAAATTAAGTATATAAATTAAAAAAAAAAGAGGAGAAACAAGAGGAGAGGTGGAATGCATTGTTTGCCATCTACCTGATTCCAGAAAAAAAACATTTATTATGAGTCATAAAAGGCTTACCTGAGGGACCATTTTCTTAAATGATTCCATGATAGCCGAGGACTTGGCCTCCTGGTAGAAGGAGAACAAGCCAGTGACCACCACCACAGTCGACAGAACCACTCCCAGGTAAAACTGCAAAATATTACCCAGGTCCATGGTATATATTATTACACCGTCCAAGTTAAATATTACCCCAGCCCATGGTAAATTATGGAACATCTTAAATAGTAATTTTGATTTCATTACTTTTGAATATGAAATATAATTAGATAATTCAGGAAAAACATACTATTATTATTATTTTTTTAATTTCTGGGATTAATAACAAGTATATGTAAATTGTTTGTAACAAATATTTCTAGTCTATTTAAAAATTGTATGTGCAACTCATTTAAGCATATGTTTATTTACTAGAATTTAAGTGTATTATGGAAACATAAAAAAGGGTACATGCCAAACCCCAAGAAAATAAATCATTAATGACCAATGACTCGTTTTGCAAAAAAAAAAAAAAGTTGAACCAAATAACATAGTTCAGTCAACATCATTACCTTCTTCACTGTTCTAGGTACTTTACCAGCTGTGGGTATTGACACCACTGTCAAAATAATGTTGACCATTTTTAGTGCTTGAAGAGGCAGTCTTGTCATATTTTTATGTTGACAAATTGAAGTCACCGGCTATAATAACCTCCTATTGCTTACATAACTTTGCTATTTGATCATATATTTATGGTATAATTACAAAATTTTCAACCGGTAATCTGCAAAATATATCTATGATTTCATAATTTTAGAAATCATTTCTTAATTTCTGTGAGTGTGGCGTCTATATGTTTGTTATCTGATGTACGTTTTAATATGGGCTTTATACGTAGTTTGATTATTAGCGCACCTCTACTGCCAGCTATATTCTTTGTCACTGTTAAAGAATGCTTCTCTCGAATGAGATCCTCTGACTCATAGTATTTTTTTTATCAAACCCAAAGATTATGTTGTGCCATGTAATAATTTTTGTTTAGAACGAGGTCCTTGAGGTCTGAAAACTCGTTTCGTATGCACATAAAAACATTAGTGTTTAACATCAAAACATTTATAGATAAATTTTGTAATTAATTTTGCATATCTGCATATTTTCACTTATTTTCCACACCACCTTCATAATGCAGTGCCAAGTTTACAAATATAGAGACAATATTGAAGAGAAATAATTGAACCAATCTCGTGTATGTGGACTCTTCAGACACACACACACACATGGCTTCAATATTTTCACCAAGATACATCACATTATTGTGATTTCATTGTAACTTTACTGAGGTTATTAAGGCTGCCGAAACATGTTGCGGTATCTTCACTTAAATGGAGACCTTCGTTGTTGTGGTAGTTGTTATAACAAGTGGGTCTCATAACAAGTGGTGCTGGATATGAAAACTGCTATAGGCTTTCTAGTTACTCTTGCCTTTAAGCAGAGATCAAAAGCAATTATTTATACAGATGAGCTTATCGAATCACACATTCACTCTCAGAACTGGGAAGGACTCCTGAGATTAAACTTTCTTTTAATGTAGTTTCCAGATTGTGAAATTATTCATCTGGATTTATAAAACAATTTTTTAGATTTCGTACTTCTCATGTTGATCGTACTTAAATGAACGATGAATAGTGTTTTTTACTTTTCGCGTACGTTCTATAAAGCATCTCTTAAGACACCAATTTCAGCACCAAAGAAGCAAAAACACTGATGATACTAAGAATTTCTGCCACAAAAATTATTACCAGCTGGCCTCTAATCAAAGAATGTGTCAAAAGTCATGTCTTTTGCCCTCATCTCTACCTGGAATCAATTGTGCGGCATAATTGGCATTGAATATATCTGCTATATCAGACTGCAGCCCGTCCTCCAAAAATGGGGTGGTAAATGTAAGAAGACAAATAAGTGCAATTATGTACTATTCATAGCAGTTAGGAATTGTACTTATTTTCACTTAGTATTAAATCGTACTGTCAAATATATTGTGAATATTTGAGTTTACCTGAAAAACTGAATAGAAAACCACAACCTCACCTAACCGTCTTAGTTTTTGAAGATAATAATTTTATTGCTTCCTAATTACAATTAGTACTTAACTTATAGCTATATTGATATTACAGTTTTATAAAACTAATAAAACAAAACTAAAATATATCAATAAATTGTAAATTAACTCAGGATATTTTAAAATTTTGCATAAAATCTATGTTGTTTAATAAACCTGAAAAAGAAATTCCTGATATTTAAAACTTGTGTATAGCTAATTGAAGATGAAATCTTCGTCCTAAAATTCTGAGTGGCTTAACAGAAAACGAGGAGAATTAAATCGGGGGAGGGAGTTGGGTAAATGTAACAGCCCCCTAAGTGCAATTATGCACTGTTTATGACAGTAAGAAAGAGTACTTATTACACTTAGTATTAAATCGTACTGTCAATTCGGAGGATGGGTTGCAGACTGACTCCCGGCCGACCTCCAAAAAAAAGAAGTGCAGTACAGTAAATATCTTCATGTGTGGAAGAAATATAATGTAATGTTTTATTTTATTGAACATTAGTAATTGGTATCGTTTTATAGAATTGCAAAGCTGTTTTAAACGTTGTTTATATGCGCTTTGTGACCTTCGAATATACGAGTCCTTATTTGTTCACGATCAGCCTATATTGTATAGAACAGGGGTGGATTGAATGGTGTACGATAGAGTTATATTGCCTGCTTTTAATAACCAAATTTTCCAACAGAATATGGCCGAAAGCCTCTTTGAATCTTATGGATATATATACACATATATATATATATATATATATATATATATATATATATATATATATATATATATATATATATAAATTTGTTTTTTTTTATACAAAATTTAGTGGTTACACATTAATTAAGGGTATTTCTTGAGAGCACACGTTCTCACATTTATCTGTAGTTGCCCATTCTGGCTGAAATGTACTCAAAAGCTTACATTATCATAGCTGGGTTCTTCTTCATAAAAAGCCTCAATGAAGTAAGCATTGAAGCATAGGAAGGAACCAATCAGGAGAAGGAGTGAGAAACCCCCAAAGAGATGCTTGCAAAATTTAATCCACTGAGGAGTCTCCTTGGGAGGGGTGAGGGCGTTTCGCCCGTCTCGCTCCAGACGCTTCACAGCCTCCGACTGTGTCAGACCCTGCGGAAGTAATTACATATATATCATACATTTTCCACTTATAGGTAACTTAATGTGAAGAAGCGACTAAAATATGCCCAATAATGCCATATACTGTTTTAGATATGAAAGAAGTAAGGAAACCACTACCCCTTGCTACACCAAGAAACAATAGCGATAAATTAAGGGATGAAGCATAGGAAGATAAATATGTATATTGAGAGAAATTATGAACGAACAGAAAAATATGGCAATGGGGAGGTAAGTCAACTTGGTATAGAGACACCCACGTGCATTCCCACACAAATACTTCCAAGTTGGACCTGGGTCCATACTTCTAATGGGGGATTGAGACCAACTGGTCTACAGCTTAAAACTTTACATCAAACTTGCTGTCCAAGTTAAAAAAGAAAATATTCATTTGAATGAGCAAAAGACTACCTCATCTTGGTGCACTTGATCCTGATATAGCTACCAGGGAGGGCAAGACCGATTTCATTAAATTATTAAGTATATTTCGTAACCTTGTTCCTGAATCATTACATGACTCTGTAAATGATGAATGGAGGAATCTATCGTTTTACTTCAAAAATGTTGAAATACCTTCTGACCGTGTAAAACTTTGGTATAAAGTCGGGAACTTACAGCATGCTGACAAATCGCTAGTGTTTCCTTACTTGAGAGATTATATGTTGTCTCTAATTGTTTTACATAGTTTATCAGCGGCTGTAGGAACAGTATTTCCTCAAGTTAAATTGATTAAGACAGACATTAGAAATAGTCTATATACGGAGTCTGTGAATGGGATAAGTCTTAACAAAAAATTAATGGGTACCATCCTTATAGCGATGACGTAAATGGGTATATACTTTTCTAAGGTTTTAGAACCTACTCCTTTGATACATTTATGGTTATTGGATATTATTTTTGTCAGCTTTTAAATATTTTTTATTAGTAAATAACTAATAATAAACAATTATGGAATATAACCAAATAAGAGTAAAAGCAGAAATGTTAATTGTAAATCATATAATGATTACAAAGTGCGCCAGTAAGGTAACTGATGTTACCTTAACTGGCGCAGTAAGGTAACATCATATTTTGACATTGCGACCCTGTGAAGAACTCTGCTCCAAAATACTATATATAAAATATCCCTCAGCATTTCGTTGCACCAAACGAAAAAAAACTACAGAAACAAAATTAAATTTCAGGGAAAGGGGGAACTTCAAACTAAAATGTTCATAAAGGTCAACGTTGGATATATTTGTAAAGATCGAGTAAGCCATATTACACTTACCCTGTCAGGGTCCACACTGAGTCGCTGGAAGAGTTCTTCGAGGGGGATCTTGTGGTCGTCAAGTATCAGCTCCTGCTTCAGAGAATTAATTTGCTTCTCTTTTTTCTTTCGCCTAGATATTTTCTTTTTTGACTGTAAAAGATTATGATCTATTTAGGATAGACAATCAATAGCATATGCTTATCACATTAGCATATTACCGGGTTTAAAAGTGGCGGGCACAAAATGTATGACTTGTTTACAGCGTACTGCTGCATTAGTTGCATTATTATTCAACTCCTATGCTTTGCACACTTAAAAGATATATCTGAGTAAATGTTCTATAATTTATTTATATACACTTTACCAGTAAAACTATGCACACTGTCGGATGCCATCCTCTAAGGAAAAGAGGCTCAATTATTACATTACAAAGCCTCTTTACACATGCAATATATTATTCTCTAAATGCCTTTTTTAATTTGAGATGCGTCCTTTCGTCTCTATACTTTCTTAGTATACTATATACTCAGATACTTTCAAGCTACACTGTGTTAATTACAGTAATAAATAACTTCACATGCTATAAGTATCTTAGATACTAGAATGGTCGAAATTTCTAGGGTAATGAACATAAAAGTGCACTAGAAAAATCTGGTTAATAAAGTCATTTGACCAACTTTTCAGGTTTCACTCGCTTAGCTGTCAAGGGGAGGGCCTGACAGCTGAGTGAACAGCGTTCGGGATTAGTAGTCCGGAAGTGAGGTTCCAGGTTCGATCTTTGGTGGAAGTGGAAACAAATGGGCAGAGTTTCTTTCGCCCTGATGCCCCTGCTCACCAAGCAGTAAATAGGTATAACTGCTACAGGCTGCTTCCTGGGGTAGAAATAGCCTAAGCTACTCTATCCCTTTGAGATGTATTTTTTTTCTTGTCTCAATAAACTTACTTGAACTTGAACTTGAACCAGACCTCCCCAAGGGACTCCTCAGTCTTGAATTTGGGGAGTAAGTGTAAGTGGTTGTAAGTATCTACTACTAAGTGGGATAGTAGTTATGTGTACGAGATCTTTTTAAATGTCAGGAAATCCTTTTCGGTCGTGTACCTCTGCATTCTGTAAATTAACTCAACTCGTGGTGTCTTTGATTTATTTGTATATATGTGAAAAATCTAATATTCAATCAATGTCTAATATTCATGATGTTTATACGAGACCTCATTATTGATTCATTTAATTTGATGTCCTAGAAATGAAAAGACCAACACATCATACAGTGGTTTTATCTGGTGTTCGAGTTGAATGGACTAACTCAATAGATTGATGTTAATTATGTTAATAAATGTTTTTGATAATACTGATTGAGACAGGAGTCTAGGTAATGGGGTTAATAGTTTAACCACGTTGAAAGGCACTCTACAAAGCCTGAAACAGAGAGGGTGGTGGCGGCATCTTCCTGTCTCACTCTCCTATCTCTCCTTCTTCCTCCTTCTCCTCCTAGCTTCTTCATCTATGCTGTTCTCCTTTACTCCTGCTTTCAAGCTTCTACCTTCTTTTCTACCTCTCATGACCACTGGTGATGGTCACCGGTCAGAATCACTGCCCAGAGTATCAAGTTAATCATTGGCCAGCGCCACCGATTAGTGTCACTGGTCAGTGTCATCGGGCATGATCAGTCAGTCAGTTAGTCAGTCAGTCAGTCAGTCAGTCAGTCAGTCAGTCAGTCAGTCAGTCAGTCAGTCAGTCAGTCAGTCAGTCAGTCAGTCAGTCAGTCAGTCAGTCAGTCATTGATCAGGGCCACCTGTTAGTCACTGTCCATTACCATTACTGACCATTAGTCAAGGTCACCAGTTAGGATCATCGGTCACGGCCACCAATCACTGTAACGTAGCTAATATTTTTTATACTAGCCACTTGAGCACTCAAGTTTCAGTCAGTACTAGAGAGTTCGCCTCGGCGCAGTTTCTACCCATCATTTAAATACCTCAAGCACTCTTTATATCTTAGCTGTTTTAATTCATATTCAGTGGCAGAGCTAATTTTGCCACTTAGTGTCGTTGCTGGTGGATTTCACATGCTAGTTCAATCCAGATGCAATTTTCAGAGATTAATTTAATTTTTATCTTCATTTATAATTAAATTACTGTTTATAAGTCATACATCTATATTAATTATTTAATTTGTATTGTCTAAGTTCCTAGCTTTATTTATGACCCAGTGTTTCTACCACATCTCGCTTTATTTTTTGTAACCATGCTAATCATTGTGTCTATGTAGAAGTCTATTGTTTCCCATCTACTTGGCAGATAACACTTGCTGTTAAATGTCCAGTGATGGCACATAATACATACTGGTAGTCGCTGTCTCATTAGGTACATCCCCACAGTGATCAGCTTACTCTATAAAGACATTATAAACAAGCAGCAGTACTAACCTCACTAAGAGCAAGTCTGCTCTGTAAGTGTCGAACATCATCTTCAAGATGGTGGCAGCGTTTTTCAGCTTCTTGGAGATCCTGCTGGTGACGTCTCTCGGATTCCTGCAGCTTATCGTTGTAATACTTGTGAAGTTCGTCCATTTTGTTTCTAAAATCCTGTTGTTAACACAGATGATTGATTTTCTATTACAGAAGTGACCATTCAGTGGCAATGCTAACCAGTGTATATATATATATATATATATATATATATATATATATATATATATATATATATATATATATATATATATATATATATGCACCTCTGTTTGTCCTCCATGGACAGGGTTGTCGAGTTTTTATGTTAAACTACTGTAATTAGTACAGTGGACTAAGAAAAAATCGACCGCAGAAGTTAACTAAAGCTTTACAACGTAAACTAATGCTTGTAATTAGTTTATACTAATGTCACTATATAAATTGTAAATACATTATACTAATGTTGCAATTTGCATGCATAATACATTTCTATATTCTCAAAGTCATGCTGGGGAATACTGGATACTCACACTAGCATTGCAAGTAACAATATTGCATATTCAATAGATGAAAGGTGATGGGGGAAGGGCGGGGGGGTAAGGGCGGGTAGCTGTCTACGGTGGATGGATGTTACAGTAGTGGTGGGTAGACGGCAAAATTAATAATTGTAGGCGAGTGATGGGGGGCAAGAGTATGGTGACATAATTGGATGGGTGAGAACTGGAGGAAAGGTTGGGGATGGGTGGAGGGAAAATAGTGATAATAGTTGAGTTACTGTAGCATAAGTAATATTGGGATGGCATGATAAATCTCTGTGAAGGTCAAGGATTTCGTCAATTGTTCGTCTGTGATATATTAATGGCTGAACCTGTGCACAGTGGCCGGTGAACGCGGGCGGGTGGTACAATGAATACCCTCCCTACATGAGCCCCCTCATCCTTCAACCTAGGTATGAGGGGTAGGAGGATAGAACATCCATCCCTACAGGAGGCCTCGTCCCTGCATTCTAGAGGTGTGAGGGGGGGGGAGAGGAATGAATGAATGAATTATCAGGGGAAAAAGCGCCAAGCCATTACGACTATATAGCACTTGAAAGGGTCAGAATAAGGATTTGGGATGGGACGGGGGGAAGGAATGGCGCCCAACCACTTGGACGGTCGGGGATTGAACGCCGACCTGCATGAAGCGAGACCGTCGTTCTACCGTCAAGCGCAAGTGGTTGGACAGGGAGAGGAGTGGGAATCATGAGGTGGTGCAATAGGTAAATATAACAGAGAGGGTCTTGTGCAGGTTAAACGTGTTACAAGCGTCATGCGGACTGAATCGGATAGTGGGTAAGTAGATGGACGATGTTCGAGAGTGCTCATGAAATTAGAATTACACGTAAACCGGGATTTCATATTGTTTCTATGAGTGCTGATATAGGTAAGGTTTGTGGAATTGCATATTAGTTACCTTTGAAGGTAGAAAATGAACTAGTTTTCCTGTTGTGGAGGAAATATGTATTTCCAGATTGCAAAAAGGTTTGTGTGTTGAATGTATCGAGGTATATCATGTATTGTGTCGGAGTGCGGGAAATGTTGGGAGGGGCTGAGATGGGGGAGTATGAGGTGTCACGGTGCTGTAGCTGGAGAGCTGCGAGGGGGCAGGCCTGATGTGTGTTGAGGGTCCTGGCAACGTGTCCTGGTATTAGTATTAACACCAGCTACTGATATGTTGATATATATATATTGGGGTTTGATATATATATATTGGGGTTATTGGTATAAGGTGCGGGAATCGTTAAAATATCTCTGGAGAATTAGTAAGTTAAGTCAACGTTTTTGGTATTCGTGCATTTCTTGCCTGTGTTGAGCACGGGAAATGGCCTCGTTGTCTTCATTTTTGTCTTGCTTCGAGAAATGAGATATACTTAACTTATACTTAACTTTTAGTTTAAGTAGTAATTGTTTTGACTTACAAGGATCCCATAGCTTAGAATAAGCAGTTTCATCACCACTACAATTTATACAACGGACCTGGGTGTTAATCAGCTGTCACGGGCTGCTTCCTGGGGGTGGAGGCCTGGTCGAGGACCAGGCCGCGGGGACACTAAAGCCCCGAAATCATCTCAAGATAGATCTCAAGAGAAGTATTTCACTTGGCAATGAGGAGCACAAAGTGTTGGCAACGCTGTGTAGAGACACCAATTTGAGAGTTGACTTCAATTTGTAGGTGACGTGTCGTCTACTCTTATGTTGGTGTTTCTCTGCAAGTATTGTACTGACAAGGAGCGTGGGAGATTGTCCTCCACCCCGGCCTCCCAACGGTTCTCAACGTCAAGAAACTGTCGTACTAAAGTGCCATTTTAACGTGCCAGAAGACCCAACACAGAAAATGGAATGTCAATTACGGGAGCCGCTACCAATTTCTAGTACGACGATTTTTGGCCTTAGGTAGAGTATACGTCAAAATGCGACGTTCTCTTAGGAGGACGGGTTGTGTCCTCACATAACATGTTACTTTCCCGAGAATTACTGAGGGAGGGAAAACTCTAACAAAGGAAATTTTTGGAATATCATGAATTTGTATTCGTTTGTCACGAGATGGTCGTGCTTACACGTCAGCAGAGATAGTGAATTGTCCCTGGCATTCTCAAAGTCTTAAAAGTCGTCCTGGAAATCTTGAAATATCTCCGACTGAGACACTGGCGGAAAGATGATTGCTCTTTCATTTGAGTTTAACCACATTTGTCATCATTTTCATCTGAATAAAGAACAAATCCACAAGGGCCGTGATGAGGGTTCGAACGTACGCCCGGGATGATCCCCAGACGCTGCCTTAGTCGACTAGGTCACGACATGGTTAAAAGAATTGCAACCGGGAGTTTCACTGGCTCACACGGATCCTGCAGCCTCTCCGAGACACAAACCAGGGTTTTACACAATTGCCCCATGCACTTGGGCTCTGCCAACAAGCTGTTCTACCTCTTCGCCCTCACTTCAAATACACACACAGAAATCACAATTGTGTGATGTTTGGAATGAACAAATCCACAAGGGCCGTGATGAGGGTTCGAACGTACACCCGGGATGATCCAGACTAAGGCAGCATCTGGGATCATCCCGGGCGTACGTTCGAACCCTCATCACGGTCCTTGTGGATGTATTTATTTGATTCATCACGCAATTGTGATTGCTGTGTGTATTCATCTGTATATAAACTCACAATAAATAATCTTAACTTATATTTGAACGTTTTTATTTATTGTTATACCGTATGAAAGATTCATTCTGTCAGCTGGTTGTCTGCTGTATAAGTCAAATACTGACAAAAATCTACGTAAGTCAGTATTTGACTCACAGCTTAACCTGGAGTATGGTTTGGTGGTGTGCAGTAGGCGGAGGTCAGTCATCATCGCTTGACTTATTGTAACAACCCTTCCTCAGGCTTTGCTCGTCCAAGATGCATTCCAAAGATGCTACCCCAAAGATGCTTTCATCAGTTGTATAGCCCGTTCTCATTAAAAGTGGCCCCAATGCTCGTTAATGTCACAGCAAACACCCCACCTTCCTGTTTATCAATAAAGATACACTTGACACACAACCCCGGCTGACTTACGGGCTCATTATAGCCCGTGCTATATGGACATTTCGTTCTCAGTAGCTAAATCTAAAACAACAATAACAACACAACCCGTCCTCAAGCTATGCACGTCCATGCGGGGGCCGACCCCAAAGACGCATTTAACAATTCGAACGTAAAGTACATTCAAAATTTGTATATTCTCATATATAAATTAGCATTATTATATAAGTTAATTTGATGGAGTTAGCCTAATTTCAGTCACGTTATTGTAACTTATTATCTATTGATGGCGTTTTACACACAAGTCACACATCTAAAAATAATGGAAGTTATTTTGAGGTTATCTTGAGATGATATCGGGGCTTTAGTGTCCCCGCGGCCCGGTCCTCGACCAGGCCTCCCACCCCCCAGGAAGCAGCCCGTGACAGCTGACTTACACCCAGGTACCTATTTTACTGCTAGGTAACAGAGGCATAGGGTGAAAGAAACTCTGCCCATTGTTTCTCCCCGGCGCCCGGGATCGAACCCAGGACCACAGGATCACAAGTCCAGCGTGCTGGACTGGAAAGTGTCGACGGTTCTGTCCGCTCTGGACCACTATTAAGTCACACGACTTGATAATGGTCCAGGACGGACCGAAACGTCGTCACTTTCTTTATATTTAGATGTGTGCATGGGTTGGGTGTCTGATAGTCAGCCACGTTATTGTATCTCGCTGTCTGCATGTTGATGGGGGTGTCCGGCTGTGTCTGGGTCTCTCCCCCCCCCCACGCTCCCTCTCCCTCTTCCCCCCCCCCATCTATCCCAATTCACCCCCCTCTTTCTCTCATCTCTCTTCCCCCTATCCCCCCCCCTCTTCAACACTCTTCACCTTTCTCTCCCATCATCACCCTTTCTACCCTGTCATCCCCCCCCCCCTTTCCCTCCCTCCCATTTCTTCTCTCTTTCGTCTCTTCTCCATGCTCTTTTCCCTCTCTTTCAGACTCCCCCTATTCCCCCTCTCCTTTCCCATTCTTCCCTTCTCCCACCCTCTACACCTTTCTACCCTCTCCCATCTCCTTACCCCTTCCCCCCATTTAAAAAAAAATACAAACTGCTAAAACACCACGGAAAACAAATCCCTAATTTTAGATTTCATTGAATCGCAGGGGGGTCGCTACAGATACCGATATTTCTTAAAGAGTGGCGCTGGGGGGAGGGGCCACCCCGAGTGGCCTATGATGACACTCCCAATCCCCATGTATCATCTTGAAAAATTAGGTGAGGCTAGCCTCAAGTGTCTGGCCTCCTACTTTGGACATATAGACAGACAGATATACATTATCTTTTATAGATATAGATACTAGATAGGGTATCCCGGTGGTTCCTGTGCGATTTAATCAGAGGTCATGAGCGAAGCACTGTTCAACAAAGGTTTGAACGTCATCAGATGATGTTATTCCCTCTTCCATAAACTGTATCGGAGACCCTTCGATACGCATCTTTAATAAGCAACAATACCAGTCATTATGTTCACGAGAGGCTCTGGTAATTTGTGTGGATGTTTAAATATATTTTCGGTAAAAGGACTTCCACGGCGGTCGGCGTTGATCTTATCTTGAGGTTATCTTGAGATGATTTCGGGGCTTAGCGTCCCCGCGACTCAGTCCTCCACCAGGCCTCCTTTTTGTTACACACCCCCAGGAAGCAGCTCGTAGCAGCTGTCTAACTCCCAGGTACCTATTTACTGCTAGGAAACAGGAGCATCAGGGTGAAAGAAACATTTTGCCCATTTGTCTCTGCCTCGACCGGGGCTCGAACCCGGAACCTCAGGACTACGAATCCGAAGCGCTGTTCACCCAGCTGTCAGGCACCCTGAGCTGTTTGTTGATACTACAATTTTGTTTCTATATGGAATGTAGTGGTAAACCCTCGCACATGATGTCCCTCAAGAACACATTGATGTGAAAGGTCGGAAAACAGCTAATTTCATTTATTGTGAGGTAGCACTCAAGTGTTTTTATTAGTCTTGCAAGCTTATTCCTATGGCGTCTTTTTCTGTATTGGTTTTGTATCTCTGACAGTGCTGTGTATGGCCCATGTTAGACCAGACGCTTCAAAACTCAAGTCAGACCAGACTGTTGAAAAGTCAGGTCAGACCAGATTGTTCAAAACTCAGGTCAGACCAGACTGTTGAAAAGTCAGGTCAGACCAGACTGTTGAAAAGTCAGGTCAGACCAGATTGTTCAAAACTCAGGTCAGATCAGACTGTTCAAAACAGTTCAAATTAGACACTGTTCAAAACTCAGGTAAGACCAGACACTGTTCGAGATCCAGATAAGACCACACACAGTTCAAGATCAAAGCAAACACCGTTCAATATCAAAGCAAACACTGTTCAAGATTTTGTTCACATCACAACCCTTTGTTGAAGGGGGAATTTGCGGATCTTCTGATTGGGCGACAATGCATAACCCGTTCATACACCGCTGGGTTGATCTGGTTCATACCTGGTTGGTTGATGGGGTTCTGGGAGTTCTTCTACTCCCCAAGCCCAGCCCGGGGCCAGACTTGACTTGTGAGAGTTTGGTCCACTAGGCTGTTGCTTGGAGCGGCCCGCAGCCCCACATACCCACCACAGCCCGGTTGGTCCGGCACTCCTTGAAGGAAACAATCTAGTTTCCTCTTAAAGATGTCCACGGTTGTTCCTGTAATATTTCTGATGCTCGCTGGTAGGACGTTGAACAACCGTGGACCTCTGATGTTCATACAGTGTTCTCTGATTGTGCCCATGGCACCTCTGCTCTTCACTGGTTCTATTCTGCATTTTCTTCCATGTCGTTCACTCCAGTACGTTGTTATTTTACTGTGCAGATTTGGGACCTGTCCCTCCAGTATTTTCCATGTGTATATTATTTGGTATCTCTCTCGTCTCCTTTCTAGTGAGTACATTTGGAGAGCTTTGAGACGATCCCAATAATTTAGGTGCTTTATCTCGTCTATGCGTGCCGTATATGTTCTCTGTATTCCCTCAATTTCAGCATTTTCTCCTGCTCTGAAGGGGGAAGTGAGTACTGAGCAGTACTCAAGACGGGACAACACAAGTGATTTGAAGAGTACAAGCATTGTGATGGGATCTGTGGCAGTATAAATATCTACATATACATAAATATCAGACATATACACCGGGCCCCATCATGCACTGTTCTGATAATCGCATACAAGTGCTTTGTAAAATATGTCTGCAAAACATTAAAGGGGCTGATTCCAATTCGGGATCTTTTAAGCATCTCTGTAATCCAAAGGCAATTTGAACGTCTCGTGTATTAATTCCAGAAGTTGAATGTTGAACTTTGTACTAATTTTTGAAGTGACATCGTTTACCAAGAACTTGTTTCGTATGAACTCATAATGCCATGTTGGTAAATTCCCCTTCCTGTGACATAGCTTCCATTTTATCCTATATTCGCATCTAGTTGCCGCACTGTTTACATTTTCCCCAGCTATGTGAGTAATGCTCACCCCCAAGGGGCACCAAGGAGCCTGACAGCCGAGTGGACAGCGCTCGGGATTCGTACTCCTTAGGTTCCGGGTTCGATCCCCGGTGGAGGCGGAAAAAATGGGCAGGGTTTCTTTCACCTTGATGCCCCTGTTCGCCTAGCAGTAAATAGGTACCTGGGAGTTAGATAGCTGCTACGGGCTGCTTCCTGGGGGGAGGGGGTTACAAATAAGGAGGCCTGGTCGAGGACAGGGCCGCGGGGACGCTAAGCCCCGAAAACATTTCACGATAACCTCAAGATAACCCCTTGCAACTAGTGCACAGCCTCTTTAACAACAGCTTGTATACTAGTGCGCATCGGTTCTAATTTCCCTCTCATCATTTCACAATACTATATGGTGGTCCAATAACTTGATATTAGCCACCATAACTAAGTTATTTGCTAATTAATTCCTCAAATGTTCAAACTGATACATTAATGTGTCGCTTTATAAAGGTAATTTCTTTATCACTTTCATAAGATATATTGAATTTGATATGACACAATAATAAAAATTAAAATGAGTCAATTAAAATGACTACTAGTTTATGACTTTATTGGACACAAGTGTTTTGGGAATAAAATATTTATACTTGCAAAGATATCATAATGTTCTATATAAAACTTCGGTTACAAGTAGTTTTACATAATTATTTATGATATAAAACGTTGTCGAGAAAATTATAAATTTAAGTATTTAATTTTTCTTACATTTTTATACAAATTCAGCGATCACTAAAAGGTTAAAAAATTTCTCACCGCAAGATGCAACACTAATAGTAGACGCTTGTCCATTCTCGCCCACTGAGTATCCAATTATATATCATGTAATATTAAAACTTGTAAAGGTAGTGTAAGTCTCTAAGCCTCATTTACCTTTTTTGTGGTCGAGAGTTCAAGAATCTACTAAGACTACACTATGTAGACGAAGAGTTCTTGAACCTTAGCCTCGGAGGACAAGCGAAAATGTATAATTCTGGGTAACTCTGTAACTGAATGGCCTCTTCTTTAGTAAATAATAAAGTAATCGATTTTCACCGTCAATCAATGTTGAGCACTAATGAATGAATGACTGTTGAGCGCGTGTAGTGTGGTTGGTGGTGGTGGTCACAGTAAGGGCGCAGTTGTTGGACCGTCCTCGCCGGCGCGCACCTCACCACACTTTACCCTGGCGGCCGGCACCCATCTGCGACCTCTCCTCCTCTTACCACATCACTACCCAACACATCTCAATACACTCCTACCACATGTCATACTATTTAACTATTATACGGAGTTATATATCAACTGAAATGATTGTAAACTAGCAATCATGTATTATGTTATACAATATTTAGCAAGACGCAAATATAAGAAATAATGATTCCAGATTCTCTGAAGAAATACCAACCTCACCGAACGGCT